CAGCCAGGACGGTCATTTGATCTGCTGTAAAGAGAGCTGGCATTTGGTGACTATGCAACCTGTAGAGGGATCAATCTCGTCTGCTTCGGCTGGAGCGTGGCTCGACATGCAGCTAAGCAGAAATGCCACACGGTTCTGTGCTTGTCGGGTAAATCATTGACGCGATGGTCGTGGCCAGTGTTGTGAGCTGCCTGGGTGACAGTGTTGCCTGCCTGTTGTGATTGTAGCTGGGTGTGCAGCACCAACAAGATGGGGACACGTACGAAGAAACTAAACGCATTCCCAACCCCATTATCTTGCCGATGAAAAGGTTTGTGGCTGTATCCGTGTTGTACCCCAAACAGTAATTCCAGGCTCGAGGAAGACTCAGTCCCCCCCCCCCCCCCCCAAGTACGTTTGCAGCATGGCTGCGAGGATGCATGAGCTAGATGAAACTGTCGGTGTCCATATACTGTGTCAATTTCCAGCATACTCCGGTGGTTTGATGACTATACCTTTAGTTAGGAGTGCTGGACTCAAACATGCCCCCTAAGAGCATTTTCACTAAGTTACGTGCTTTAGCATGGTTGTTCCGCGTCGTGTTTTTACATAACCTATTTACGGTGCTGTCCCTGGCATGTAAGTGTCATGCTCTGGTCATCGACGTTTCTTCTCAAGCGTTGGTAATTGGTCATTTCGGAGCATTGCTGGTCGAATTCATACACGTGTGTGCTTGCCGTTATCACTTCCTGACCAGGAAGTATAATTTTGGCCCAACTTCCCGCCGTTGGTCACTGGCCCGTACTGACCACCGTCATTTGTTCTTAGTAAAATGCTTTCCACCGTCACAATTTTAGTTATGTTTTTCTCATTGAAATCGGTTTGTGGGTCAGTTGAACGCAGACTAGAAAGCAATTAGCGACCTAATCTAATTTTGCCTTAACCAAGGACTGACAAGCAATCGTCGGCTTTGTAAACCTTCATCGCGATAGGGGTAATTCCAACGGTGTTTGTTTTGCACAGCTCTGGTCGGCTATTGCATAGCAGTGGGGGTCGGATATAAACCCTGCCCCTCCTGTTAGTTTCTGCTTGCTGACAGCAGAGGCCGGGCGTTGCGAGCGGATAGTCAACCTGCAGGAGCGTTGATAGTCATGCGACGATGCGTTCTTCGCTGAAACGTTTGACATCGGGTGCTGACTCCATAAGGTGATGCGAGGACAAGTACTGCTGCGCATGCGCCTCATGGGATGGCGATAAACCCTGGCGGTCTTGTAATGTAAATTGTTATGTGATCCAGGGCTCTACTGGGTGGAGAAGTACTGGCTGTGTTCGGGACAGTCGGGCTTCCTCGTCTACAAGTACGCCATGAAGCGCTGCGAGGACCAGGCGCCGCCCCCTTGGAAGGTGCGTCATTGCCGGGCACAGCGCGGCTTCCAAATGTGCCGGCGTTTGCAGTATTGAAGGTGTCGAGATGCACTTCACAAAATTCAGTGACCATCAGTACTGTGACCCATGCACGGCACAGCCGATTGTTGTGTGCCACTCGTTATTTGTTTGGCTCTTGGCTAAGCCACTGCTACATGTTCTGTGGTGTTCTGCGTCAGCAAAGTGGCTTCAGTTATACCGGATACTTTGGCCCCCAGACTTTCCTTTTTACAATGTCAATGCGTTCACTGTGCAGATGAGCAACTCTGTCACCCATCTAACCGGCAAAACGCGTGGCAACAACGTGGTATGGTTTCGGCACAGTCTCATGGAGAGGCTGATGCCATTGTTTGGCACGTGAAGCATAACACGTGCGTTCAGGCCAACTGTGAACTACGACACAATAGATCGTTGTGCCCGTCCACCGTCCTGTTTCCGGCCGTCTGTGTGCCGCGCTGAGTGCAGGTGGTGTGATCTCAGGATGTTTCTGGCGACGAGGCACTGCTGTCGGACGGCGCGGCGGCGACAAAGCGCTCTGCCGACGAGGACTCGGGCGCGGAGCAGGGCGACGGACCGGCGGCGGCTCGCCCGAACGGCGCGAGCCGAGCCGACGGCGACTCGGACTGAGCTGTGTGACGACTCGGGGCCCGGCTGAGGGCGAGGGATGCCCGCCATCAGCGATGTTTGCTCGATGATAGCGCCGGGATATCGTCGGTCGTCCCGGGCCTACTACGACGTTGGAAGTTCCGTCGTATTGATTTTGGCAGCGTCCTTTCAGGGCATGTGTGAACCGTGCTCGCGATACTTGCATACACGTCATACTCTTCAGGAACAGTCCGCGCATTTGCACACGATGGTGGTCGGCACCCGCCCCGCACGCGCTGAAGGACACGTCACCGTCAACTTTTACGCCTCATGTGCGCCTGCCTTTTTGATGCGTTTTAGGGTGTGTGACTTTTTATGAAAACAGGCGCAGCAACAGCCTGCGTGTTGGGCCTCCCCGTTGGCCCTCACTTCCGTTCATTCACACATTGTGGCCTTAGCCTGGCTCCGGTATCGGGCGCGCTCTGCCCTGTGGGGCTCTGCTCGGTGGAGAGGACGTAAGCAGTACATGATCGATGCTCGTGGTGGCGCGACGCCGGTGATGCCCGCCCGTGGCCACCAGGGGTCGTATCACCGCACCTTTGTGGCCCGCAGAAGGTGTCCTGTGTGCCATAGTTTGCGCTATTCAGTTCTTCTGGGGTACCTGATTTTATAAATACATGTTTCGCCATCGACTGCAGATTTCTAGTGGGTTATGCAGTGCGTGACAGTTCAAGGCAGTTAGTACCTTGCGATTACGTACTGACCAATACAGTCAGCTTCTGTTCGCCGCCTCATTGCCATCCGAGTTCAGAATAGTACGCTTACGAGTAGTGCGGCCGCTAAGTCGGTATACAGTCGGATTGATGGCCGCTTGTCGGCAATGCTCACAGATGGGTTTCGTGCATTCATGCATGGTCGCTCGGAGAAATTCAGACTCTGATGTGCGCAGGGCCATTCGTTGGGCACCGGTACCCCTTTGCGTGAACGCGATCTTTCGTTGAATGCATTCATCTCGGACTGCGTATGCATCCGTTTTCAAGGTCGATGCGTCCTCAGCATCTCAGCTAGCGGGCTGACGGCGTGGTATGGCCACCTGATAAAGGTGGTTTATGGTCTGTGCGATGATCCGATATCAGATGTTATCGTCAGATGCGCCTTCTAAAAAGTAATGCGATTGCCGTCTGAAGTGGGAAAAGCTGGATACGGCCTTGGTCTGGTGTTTAAGAGTGCGTCAGTATCGAGGCGATTTTCCGGTAGGTCCCATAGTCGAGCGCTGGGTGTTTTCACTAGACCTAAAAAAAAAAAAATGATGGCTGCCGTCAGGTGAAGCGAAAGCTAGGCAAATAATCCGTAAAAGTGGACGCATGGTCGGACTTTTTGTTCTACTTTAGCGGGCGTTATTTGCATGCATTACGCGCCGACTGTTCTATGGTGTCTGATTTCGCCCGCGGTTCACACTTCCAGTACAAACGACGTCGCGCCAGATATGTTCCGATCGAGAGTGCTGGAACATGTGTCGAACGAACGCTAGGCAGCACACACGGGCGGGTCCAAGAGCGCCACTGGTGTGAGCTGCCCATTCTGTGAGTGGCGCTGCAACTAGATCATTCACAGTTTGTGTAAATGTCTCGACTCGCCCTGGTAGGCATTTCAGAATCGGCGCTTCCCACGGTCATTCGCTTCATACAGGCGAAAATGAGATTACCTACACCTCGTTTTAACTAATTCCTTGAGAAGCCCCCAGGTTTTAACGGCTCCTGATGCACGCTGTCCCCGTGTGCAGTACACTTTAAAACGTTTACCGCGCTCGACTAGGCTGGTAAGAAGGTTACACTGTGGTGCATCTCTCCATGTCAGGAGGGTCCTTATGCCTGAGGTGGCTGATTGCCCTGCCGACTTGCACCTGAGGTACGTCACACAGCTCTCTACAGTTCTCAGCAAGGGACTTCTCACCAGCCACGCAGTCCTCCCTCCGTGAAGGAAGCGTCAGCTTCGCTGGCACAAGAGGGTTGGATGCAAACTTGGTGTCAGTAGCGGCGTTAGGCATGTGACCGTCTGACTCACACAGGGCCAGGCGAAAGGCTGTGACGCTATGTGTGCTGTCCACGGGCCACACACGCGCGAGACGGCCGATCATTGCTGTGTGGAGGGGCACACCCTCTGATCACCGCGACCTGTTACGGTGCAGCGGGGCGCGAGACGACCGATCATTGCTGTGTGGGGGGGCAGGCCCCTCTGATCACTGTGGCCTGTCAAGGTGCGGCAGGCAGCACGTGACCCACTCCCACCCGCGTTTCGCCCAATGGCGCTTTCGCCATTGGGCGGAATGCTGCGTCGCTCAGATGGGGCGACATTAATTGTGTACCTGATCTCTATTGTATTCATTATAGATGGGGTTGATGGCTCGTGCCTGTTTGAGTTTCCTGTTCTCATGCTTTGAGGACATTATATTTGAACGCATACACACTTCGTTGACTAATACAACCAACGTACCCATACCCAGTGCAAAACCGGCTCAGCAGCACTCGGCAGGCAGAGCCCACAATGGCCGTAATCAAAAACATCTACACGGTATAAACGTGAATTGGCAGCATCGTTTGTCCCCGCCTGATTGTTCGAGAACACGAAATGACTTAATATCTGGATGTAAGCCGTGGATCACGCGTGCAGTCGGCGCTACCAGTTAAATGAAATGTCTTCCCCATCACACCGGGTGTGAACTTGACAGACGAAGCGTTTCCTGTACGCTGCGGAAGGCAGCGAAGCAAACGCGGCAGTCGGGGGTACACGCGCCCACACAATTTTCAGAAGGCCCACCCAAGACCATGACCTCCGCCCGTCCTCTCCGGGCGCACCCGGCGGCCGCCTGATAAGAACGATAGCGAGCAGCAGCGGCGGCGGGGGCCCTGCACTGCTCGTCTGGCGTCGGCCGCAGCACCGCCGCCATCCGCCCGCCGCCCGCGGCACGCCGCAGCCACCAGCCCAGACTCCAGTGCCGTCCCCCGTCCACCATGCAGCCCGGTCTTAAGTACGGCATCGTGCTGGGCGTCGGCCTGGGCCTGCTGGTGTTGGGCTGTGTGCTCGGCTGGTACGGCTTCCCCACCATCATCGACAACATGATTGAAGAGGTGCGCATTCGATGGGCGGCAGCTCGATTGTGTATATGTGTGTGTGCTGCGCCTGTCGTGTGTGCTCTCCTCGGGGGGATAAGGGGACAGCTCCGGGTCTGTATGTGACAACACTGTCTTGAATGTTCGGTGTAACCGACGCTAGATAGTTCGCGGTGAGTGCTCGTCCCTTACGGATATTTTGAAAAAACATCAGCCCCAATTTCATCATTTGTGATTGGATCAGAATAGCACACAAACGCTAGGTTTGATGGTGCACCAACCGCCCTTCGAAAGGACGTGAAATGATCCAATGTCTTGGTAAACGCCTGGTTATCTATTCCAGCAAATGGTACTGACGACGGACTCCGAAAGTTTCGACCCGTGGCAATCACCTACATCCCAGATCGACGTCTACATGCAGTTCATCGTGTTCAATGTTACAAACGGTGACGATGTCAGAGACAACGGCTCAAAGCCCATAGTGGAAGAAGTGGGGCCGTTCTCCTACAAGTAAGTGCTACGTGACGTTTTGCATTGAGGTGTGCGGTTCGTTGTGTATTTTGGAAGTGCATAGGCAAATATATACGCATATTTATGTATATATGTATATATTTATACCTATATATATACATATATATATATACATATATATACACATATACTATATATATATATATATATATATATATATATATATATATATATATATAGGTATACTATGCTAGACTAACACTCATTCAGATTGCTTCGATGACTTTGTTGTGTGCTTAACCGCCGTGCCTTCGACGGTTAAGTCGAAAGTCATATCTTTGCAGCCTTTGGAAAGATAAATGTTCCCATGAACGACGCAACCCCAGTGTGAAAGCTTGGATAAATTCGTTTTCACAACCGTGCTGCGGATATTTACACGATCTTTCAGCACATACAAATGTTGCTTAAGAGTGCTACTTAAAGGACCAGTGTATGCTAATATTCAGACATGAATTTGTGTGTGGCTTTGGCTGGATACAATTGAGAAACAGGCTATTGTTCGTTCGGCGACAGAGTCGCCTGTGTTGAACAAAATACAATACAAAAATAGAGATTGCCCACCTTCGACCGGTTAAAACCAGCCACTGGCATATTTAATTTTATATGAAAAGGGTAAATCAGTCGACTGGGAGGGGTGCTGATGAAGCAGCGGAATCTTGATGGCTGCACTATCAGTCTATTTTCTACTCTGGGAAAACAGAGGTATAGGATTTGATGTTCCTCGGCGCCCTAGGCCTGCCATGGTGAGAGGCAGGGGGCATTATGTAGCCCCAGCAACTGAGTGCATCGTAAATCTACAATGACAACGAGAGTCGGCTGGATTCGGCGGTACCTCCGTTGGGTCAAGTAGATGGAAACAGTGTCATGTCGCTGCTCAAACTGCCACATATGGTTGAACTTTAAGCCAAAATTTTGCAATCTAGCTTCCGAGCAGCAGGTTGTAAAGCTTCGGCCTCCGTCGATTGATGTACACAATCTTCTGAACTTCTCTTAAGTCTAGCGCCAGTTACGATGGCGGAGGTCACACAACAACCGCCGCCAGGCACGCTTGGGTGTGTCTGGGCGCAGGCAGGGCACAGCCAATGCACGCACAGCGTCCATCTACAAAACGTTTGCAAGAACAGTCAACGGGCATGGAAGCACTTGCGTAGCACGAAGCAAGTTCTCCTCTGTTGTCAGTCCACTACAGCACTATAAAAACGGTTAGCCTCCACGTACGTCGCCACGATGTGTATCGCCGCCAGCTGACGCCTACAAAGCCGTGGGTGACCTGCGGGTTCTGAGCTCGTCGCCGCTTGCGATGCCTTTGACTTGTGTTCTGCATTGAGCTCGCAACCGGCATTCGAACCCGAGCTCCCACGTGGGAGTCCCAGGCTCTAACCACTCAGTCATTACGCGCCGACAAAGGTGACCGTGACGCTGTGCTACGTATGTGACGGATATGAGCATCGCGGCAATACGCCATGCAGGTGACGTATGTGACGCTCGTGAGTGTCGCGGCACTATAGGACGTATGCGACGCATGCGGGTATCGCGGCACTATGTGACGTCGGTGATATATGCCATGCCACGCATATAGGTTTTGCGACATTAGGCGACATAAGTGACATATACGACGCGTGTAAGAATTGCTCACTATGTTACATATACGACGCATGTGGGTAGTGCAGCAGTTCATGACATAGGTGACGCATGTGACGCATGCGAGTATCGCCACATAATGCGGGTGTCTGGGGCAATCGCGGTCACAGCTCCACTATCGCTCGGTCCGTGTGTTGACCGACTATGATCAGCAGCCGGCGAGATTGAACGGCCAATGGTGAGGTCAGCGTCCTTGAGGTAACCAAACGATAGAACACAACGACGTGAACAATAGTGACATCCAGGGCTTCTGGTAAGTCGCTCCGAACCCTAAGCTCCAACGGGGGAAAGGCAGATTTTGGATATCTGCGACAGCGTACTTGCGCCCGAAGTGGATTCGTGCTGAAACAGAGTATACACACACACACACACACACACACACGCACGCACGTACGCACGCACGCACGCACGCATCATGGCATATATACATACATATATATAATGTCTAAGTATATAAGTATAATGTATAAGTAAGTTATAATGTCTCTCTTGCTTCACATATATGTATATATATATGTATATATATATATATATATATATATATATATATATTCTGTTTAGTATTATGCATTCCATTTCAACCACCAGGTGACATTGGTTACACACGATGTCATCGGGCTAAACGACGACATAATCGACGGGATATTACGCCGAGTTTCTCATACTGCTGTCGAATTGCAACGTTTGCGTGATGACTTCGCTTAACCAGTGCCGCCAAGCATACTGAAGGCTGGCTGTCTTTAACCGTCACCTTTATTCGCCCTTTTCATGAAGCAGACTGATAGGAGAGTCGATGCAAACCCCTCCCCTTCCGTTTTCAAACTAAGAACGACATGCCGTCGCGGAAGAAAACAGTGGATTGGTGTCAACGAGCTTTTATGATTTATGTAGATTTTATGTTGCGAAGTGAATGATGACCGTATTACGCCACGTAAAAGTCGTTTTTTCCCAAAATCGCACTTTTCAGCTTTACATGCCCATAATTACGAACAAGCGCGATGCAGTGACATAAAACTTACGCAGAAATGTTTTATGTTCAGTTTTAAACGTGTCGATGTGTGCCTTCCTCTGCCTTTTAAGAGTGTTTTCATGACGTACGGTTCCGTTCATGCGACAGCGTCGGCTCGCCGCGCGCGATCGTTGGATTCATTGGTTGCCGCTCGCCGCCCGCGCCTGCCGTAGATCGCCGTATTGTTCCTAAAGTACGTCATTGCTGGAAAACCAAAAAAGCTAGAGGTATCCTTTTATGCCAAGACACGAACAATTAATGTCCAATTGGCTTCCGACCATTTGAGCGCGATCACATAACACCGCCGAGAGACATCATCAGAGAACTTTGCGAGTGAGGTGGCAGACCCCAACCAGGGCGAGGGTTAACATACCTCAATATGGGTAAAAACTGATATTCGACGGCCTTCGTTGTTAGAATTAGGTATCAGGTAATTTTGACAGCTAGATTCAGAATCAGTTGTCAGAACGAACAAATTATCGATCAAAACTACTATAGTTGGTACGCACGGCGGCCGGCCGGTTGCAATGACCTGAGGCCGGTCCGGCGTCGACAGCCACTTGTTATGTGCTAGAACCGAGCATCCGCGTTCGAAATATACGATTTTTTAAGGCCGTTCGGATTCGGCGAGTATTTGTCTGCCGAAACAAGGTGTAAATGCTGGAAACGTTACGCATCTAGTGAAATCGCAGAACAGGACACTCAAACCATGCAGCGTTAAAGCCAACAGTTGACTTCCACATCCCTGCGGGATGTTAGATAGCATCGAGAGCGGCTAGGTGCATAGCTTCGCGTCACAGAAACCACGTGTGGGTAATTAGTTTTTGACCGTGGCCGTGGCTATCAGTCGGTGACTGATTTACAGAAATGCGTGAAACTTTGATAATAATTCGGCAAAAAACGCGGTCGGCTGGAGCTGGAATTACTCTATTTGGAGGCCTTTGCAGTAAGATATGCTTGGGAACGACTGGTGGAAGGGGCACTGATACAAAACATGCTGTGAACTGTAGATAAAATGTACAATCTTTGTAGGTTTCTTGCACATTCAAGGTGTCCACGTTGTAAAAAACCAGGTTTTTGATGAATGCGCCGGAAAATAGCACGGCATCTGAAAGAAGTAAGTCACTGAAGAGATGCTACCGTATTGCATAAAGTTTGGTGGTTTGTTGTGCGTTACCTTATAACCTACAGTGGAACTGCAACTTCATTTTTTTAAAATAACTACACAATGTTCAGCTAACACTCGCTACCCCTTAACTTGCTGTGCAACCATAGAGCTGTCGGTAGCACAAAAGCCAGTTAAAGCTGCTCAAGTACAGTTGTGTATGACACTGGAAATCTCTCAGCAAGGTTTTTACTTCGAAGTTTGTAGCATCATGACTGAGTCCTGTGCCTCCTTTCCCAGAGAAAATAGGCAGGCGTGGAAACCTGATCTGGTCTCAAGACGGAACCCAGCTGACGTACAACGAGATCATCACTTACGAGTTCGATAGCGCTACGTCCGGAGAGGGCCTGAGCGAGGACACGACCATCGTCACCATCAACGCTCCCATGCTGGTGAGTGAAACGCTCGCCAGCGCATGCCTTTCTGTGCCCGTGTCCAGGTGGTATGTCCGGATTTGGAGTAGTCATGGATTTGGTGGATTGTTCCTCACACACTGACCTGGCACCGGACATGAGGACAAAGTTGGATTCGACTTCAGCTCTGGCTACGCAAAGGCGCAGCTTTCACCACGGTCTTTGGCTTCGACTTGAAGTATTTTCCACGGTCGCATTCGTATGCAGTTTTGGCTTTATACCATTTGAAATGGTTTGCTTTGGCTTCGACTTAAAATTTGTGTTGTTTTGAAGAGCTGAGTTTGGCTTCGACTTCGGCTTCTTCCCGGCAATTGTGACTACGTCACAAAAGGGAGTCTTGCCCTCATGTCGCGTAAATATGCCGCACAATTTTTCGTGGCTGCGATGCAAACATGGCTTTAAACAAAAAAAACCGGCTGTTCAATCACGGGACCGACGAATACCTGACGACGGCGGAGGAACTTATTGCGCAAAACGTCATGCACATAATAACACAAAAAACGAGGATGATAACTCGAAAAATATTTCATCCGTAGTGCTGACACGCTGTCTCAATCACTTTTCAAAACCCCGATGACGTTTTCCGATCGCATACACTTTGTATGCTACACACGCTACGCTGCACACCATACAATCACAACATATGCACACCAGTTCGAAGTCGCTGACTTTGCATTCGGCTTCACGTGTGCATTGTTGAAGCCACTGACTTTTAAGTCGGTTTCACGTTCTAATGATACCAAGCTTCTGGCTTCAGCCTCGGCGCCGAAACTTTAGACATCGAAGACACTATCTACGGCTTCGATCTCGGCTTTTCGTCATTGTCTTGGCTTTGAATTCGGCTTCGAACCCAGAAGCTTGGCTTTGTTCCCGTGCTTGCCTGGCACACATGAGCGCTTTTTTGGACCTGTGGCTGATTGCGGCTGGAACCGGTGGGTGACGATGCTACACTTTACCAGTAGAATAATGACTTGAAAATATTATCTTTCGGAATGGGCTTGACAGTGAAAGGATCATGTTTTCCAAAAATGCCGTTCGGCAGCTTAAAGTATTCTCAGCGTTGTTGGATGATTTGACCCAGTGTTGGGGAGGACCTCGGCATACAACGCCCCCCGCCCCCCCCCCCCCCACCCACTACTTTCAACACTTGGACAGAAGAAACATTCGCAGCGAGTCTACCTCGTTCAGCTGAACGGAGGTGCCGCACGGACCGGCTCCGTCACCGTCCGCGAGCGCTGGCGCTCACCGATCCGCGGAGGCGCCGGCGCCGATGTCCCCTGCCTGCACCTGTGACCGTCGCGCCGCCGTCCGGCAGGTCGTGGCTACGATGGGCGATTCTCAGCCCCCGGCGCTTCGGAATTTGTTGTACAACATCATCAATTCCAAGGAGCGAGGCCAGAGCTTCATGGCGTACAAGGCAGGCGAGCTGCTGATGTCAGGCGTGGACGACCCGCTGTTCGCCTTCGTGGCGTCAGCTTTACCCCAGCTCCTGCCGCCCAGCTACAGTGATGGATTGTTCAGGCTCTACGCGGTAAGTGATTGGCGGGCGCCTCGGCGCAGTGGGATGGCAAACAACGGCATGCAGAGTCCTGCTTCCCTCCCTAAACCTTTTTATTTCAACGGGGGTCGGCTCATCGGGTTACGGTATCCTTCTGGCCTAAATTGAGCTTTCAGTTGGGAGTAACGCTGTCGGGAGGTGTGAAAGCGACAAATTGCATTTATTTAATGGAGTGCGTATTACCAAAAGCGAGGACTTAGAAATCAACTTGGTTCCGTGGCCATAGCAACCCTTCGGTGTGCATATAGCTGGCCTGTCTGGCCTAAATCTGAATAAAGCTAGCCGGTTATGTTTCTGGGACGTGCATGACCAAACAATCAAAACCATCGGTCGACTTTTTGCAAACCAGATCGCTAAGCTATCACTACTTGTTGCAAAATGTCAAACTTTCGTTTCCGTGTCGAGCGAACTGTAAGGACTCAAAGCCAACAGCAGCTGCCACTATTCACACTAGAACGCATTGCACGAAGTGCTGCATCCAATAGCGTTTTGGACTGCTAGGGTATTAGTGAGCGCTGAAAAAGTCAGTGATATGTGTAACGAAGTAATATATTCAGATTTAGGGCGCATCCAATATCCACTGGAGTAATGGCCTATACAATATACAAGGCTAGCAGAAATGATTCGACAGGCGTTCTGAAAATCGTCATGAAATGCACGTGTTTTCCCACCTCGGTGAAATAAACCTCAGAGTGAAAGGGATCAAGGACTTTTGTACGGTCCCGCGTCAAGTTAATCAAAGTTATGGCTCAATTGCTTGCCTGTTAAGCAAAGTTATGGCTCAATTGCAAAGCTATGGCTCAATTCGACAGGCCCGTGTTTTCCGAGAGCGCCCGTGTTTATGCGTACGCGATCCTCAGGTATGTCCGCTAGCGGAAACCCACCAAAAAAGACTAGGCAAAGAACTCTTCTAACTTTCGCCGACCGCCTGATTCCAGTTCAACAACACCATAGACGGCCCGTACACAGTACTCACCGGCAAAAATGACATCAACCACTTCACCTACATCCAGTCATACCAAAACAGCCCCAAGTTAAGCTACTGGGGCACCCCATACTGCAACGAGATCAACGGCACCGACGGCATCACCTACCCCCCTCACACGGACGACGTCCAGAGAGTCTTCATCTTCAACAAGGATCTGTGCAGGTGGGTGAGAGTGTTGCAGTCATTATACAACCTGGCGAGTCTATTTGAGTGCGTGCGGGGGAAGTATATGGGTGTGCTTGCTTGTGTGTGTGGTTTCCTTATGTCCACGTGCGAAGTGTGAGTGGGACAACAAAACTCAGCTCTTACCACACATGACGGGACACTACGGCATCCCAAATGAAATCCAATGTGGGAATGGTGTCTGTTGTCTCACGATTTGCATTGCGTTATAATCCGTTTGCGGTAGCCTGGGCCATAGGCGTAGGAACGTCTCAAAAAGTTGTGGGGGGCGGCAAGCTCAGGGTGTACTTCAGGAACTTTTTCTGGAAAGCGGGCCCGATGACCGGGTGGCGGGGGGGGGGGGGAGTAGAGATGGAGATTGTTATCGCTCTTTATTCAAATGTCATAGCCGCTATGCTATGATGTATGATGCATCTAGAGCTGCTTATCACTGGTGCACAATCTTGCCTACTCGACTCATCTGTCATTTGTGAAATAAGGCTATCCAGCTCCCCTAGATCATTCGTCCATTTTAGCATTGTCTTTCCTGGGGGGGGACGAAATTCCACGAGCGGGTAGGTATTTTGGGTCATTAAGGAAGCGTTTGCCTCCACAGTGTAGATGCCAAAATACGGCATAGATATAGGCCGGTGATAATTTTGAAAGTGGATCGATGGCTCGCAGTGCGCCAGGTTTTTCATGCGCCTTCATTTCGCTGTCTGCTTTTCAAGAAATTAGACTTGTCGCAGCATTTAAAGCGGAAACAAAGTCGGGGGGCTTGAAATTGCTAGAAACAATGTTACAAAATCCATAAAATTGGAGATTTTCTTTTAAGAATCAAGCCACATAATAAGGCCCATCTGTCATATGTTCCTTATCTGGGCCCTGCTCCTGTCTGCCGTCGGTGGTCACTGCCCTGGCCTGGATGTCTCCCGCATGACTGACTGCGAGCTGATCGTGTGGCTACTTTGTCGCATATTTTTGGATCAGCATCTCTTCTACATGGTGCATGAAACATGTGTTGGACACCTGCAACAGTATTTTTCCCGAATTATCTTCCCGTATGCCACAACATCGCAGAAAAATAGCCTCCGGGAAGCTGCCTGCCTTAGGTATGGATGGGCCCAACGGACACTTCATTGTCCATCATGCAATGCACGCAACTTGATCCGCTTTTGTGTGAAGGCAGGGACGTAGCCAGAGCCTTGCCAAGAGGGAACACAGGGTTGACAAAAGCCCATCTTATGGTGTCCCACGCCCCCCCCCCCCCCCCAATCCTCGGATATAGCTTACTTGTTAACGAGTGGCATAGTTTTCTTCGTTTTATTTTTTACCTTGTAACCAGAACAGAGACCAGAAGCTACCGCGAGCTCTATTCTGTTTGCATTTTGAGGTTAATAAGCTGCAGATATCAGGCGTTGAACGACTGCATGGAAGAAATCACCGGCGCTCTTAATTTACAATGGTTAGCTGACTCTTTCTACACCGATAGAATTCAGAAGCTCTGTCAAATTTTTATCTGGGTTCTACAGACATAGAGGACATCGCGAAGGCAGATTGTAGATCGATTTGTTTGATCCAAATTTGAAGACGAAAATTTGATTGCAAATCGAGCGGTCAACATGGTGTATTAACATGGCCAAGCCATGTTTGTCTGAAAATGTTCACTGTTCAGTCAGAATCGATTGGTGATGCAATTCAGGTAACGCATTTTTGCAACATGCTCGCTCGCAAGTTTTAGCAACAAAAACCTCGACACCAGGCGTTGCAGTCTCCATAGTCCGCGGAGCGTTAACCCAGTAGCTAACATTTAGCCGTGGCCCGTCAGTGGACGAAAATTATGACGCTTCTGAGAAAGTATCCTTGGACGCTTCATGACATCAGATCTTGTATTTAAAAGGTAGTCTGAGGGCATATTTCACGTGTGCAAATTTTAGATTGATGAAAAGAACGGGTTGGCCCCTAAAGCACTGCAAAGAGGGCTAGAATCTGGTGGATGAACTGGAAGAGTGAAAGTAAAATCTCTATGTTTCGTGTTTCCGCAGCTATTTTTTTGTCCAGAAGACAAATTAACACGGCGCCCACCGTCTGGGGGCACTTGCAGTGGCCGAAACTTATCGGTTTTACGGAAGTTGCAACCCAGATCATCCTTGTCCTTGTTCTCGAGGTTGCGGCGGGCATGTTCAGGGCTTTTGATGAAATTGGTTTCAGTAATACATTCTAAAATAAAATGAACGTTCTCAGGCAAACATGGTATGACTGCTCGTTTGCTTAATTCATTTCGACCCGTGCTTTTCAACAATAATGAGAGTCCCACTCTTCCCAACAATAGTGAAACCCCTTATTCACTTCCGGGCAAGGGGCCTCTTGAGTAGAACACCAGGGGTACAGAACCGTTTCCGGTGAAGGGCTGAAGGGCCATTCCGTCCCATCGCGAAGTGTCTTCTGGCTATCATTCTGGTGGCATGGGGCGGGATCTCCTGGTGGATCTAGAGGTCATTAGAGGGATATATCATATCACATTGTCCCCATCCCTGATACGGGAGGCCTTCTGATCCGCGTAGTTAGCCCCGGATCAGCACAGGGACCCTAACTGACGCAACAACATCCCTGATTACCGCAGGCAGTTCGATTGTTTTCACATAGACTCCAGTTCCATGTTTTTCTGTCTTCTTCAGAGATATTGAGTTCTCCCTGGCTGTAGATTGCAGATGATATGGGGTTCATAATTTGTATTAACATGGCTAGCCCATGTTCGTCTTATAATGCTCAAGATCCTGTCAGAGCTGATTACTGATAAGAAAAGTACGTAATGTGGTGTTGAACATGCGTGCTCGCAAGTCATAGCAATAACAGTCTCGACGCCCGGCGTTGCAGTCACCAGGCCGTGCGTCTTTCCTGTTCTTACGCCCATGGTCTGGGCAACCTATTCGTATCCGTTTCACAACATCAGCAGGTGTTTATTGATGGGCCATGAGTGGGATTTACGTTAAGTAGAAGTGAGAAGCAGTTTGCAAATCGTGTCCTCTTTGGTAAATCGGTCGATATATTCAGCCTGAAGAACATCAGCTTATGCTGGAGGCTGTAATTTATACGTCCGTTATAGGGCGGCGGGAACACTCCCTTTCAATGGGTATCCTGACAAAAAGGTGGGATACTCCCTTTAAAGGGAGTAAGTAACCCACGTTTTTGTGTACGTTCACTCGTTACATCAGACGCGTTCGCTTTAATCAGCAAAACCAGCTTTCTGGAAATCCTGATTAGCTCAGGATTTCTATCTGAAATAGCCGACCATGCGGGAAAAATCTTATTTGACTCCCTGCCCACCACTATGGAGGTAATAAATTTTGCTTGCCCTGCTTTTCCAACGTGTGTATTATGTAGTGTTTGCCGCTTACTAAGATGTCAAAAGGTTTCTGTAACAAATGCTACGAAAGCTGGAAACACTTCTAAGAGACAATGTGCAAATATGAGGTTATTATCCCGTGAATTCAACGAAACGTTATACTATGGCTATGATTTTCCCTCCTATGCGTTTAACACAGTGGCTCTCTTCGAGGCACACTGGCAGTGATAATGGGAGCATCACATGATCTATGTGACGCACTGGTTCAGACTTCAACCAATGTGCTCCTCGCTAACAAGCCCTTGCTCACTGGACCAATCACAAACGTTCTTTTTTCGCGCCAGTAAAGGTGCGAATTGTAGTTGTGATGACGACGGTGGTCGCGACTGCAGGAAGGAAGGGTAGCGCTGTTACAAGGCATCTATAGTGTTATTTGGACTCGAAATTAATTAAAATTGATGCCCTAATTATGTACTGACAGCGCTGCAGTGACACTGTTATAAGACTGACCCCAAAGGTGGAACCCTTCCTTCAAACGGCGAGTTCCGACTGGCCCGGCACAGCTCCCAGCGGGCTAACCCCCTCCCCTCCCTCTCCCGCCCACCTTATCGCCCGCTAGGTCGATTTATCTGGATTATGAAAAGGACGTCGAGTACTTCGGCATCACCGGTCGCCGGTTCGTGCCGCCCCGTGAGGTGCTGGAGGACCCGGCTGTCAACAAGGACAACCAGTGCTTCTGCATCCCCGCTGGCAATTGTCTGAAGGCGGGAGTCTTGTCGCTCAGTCCTTGCCAGTACGGTAAGTCGGATGCTGAAACGATCGGTGGCTGCCCATTGAAGCTCCAACAGAGCATGTCTCCAATGAGAAGGAGCGGACCTATTTGGTTCATCGTCGTCTTGTTATGGAGATGTATCGAGGCGTGGCACGCATTTATTGGCTGCGCGGATATTTCGAGGTGATGCAATCGCTGTGACATTGGTGACTAACCTCAGTCCTGTCTCTTCGTTTCGGCTGCTGGAGACTCACCCCAGCCCTGTGTCTCCGTCTCGGCCATTGGAGACTCTCCCCAGCCCTGTGTCTCCTTTTCGGCCAGGTGCACCGATCGTAGCCTCCACCCCACATTTCTACAACGGAGACCAGTCATATGTTGATGCAGTCATCGGAATGTCTCCGGACAAAGTCCGACACGAGACATTCATCGACATCGAGCCCGTGAGTGGGGTGTGATGTCCTTTCTCTGGGGATTCTTGGAAAAATTTAGAGAGAGAGAGAGAGAGAGAGAGAGAGAGAGAGAGAGAGAGAGAGAGAGAGAGAGAAGAGAGAGAGAGAGAGAGAGGAGAGAGAGAAGGAGAGAGAGAGAGAGAGAGAGAGAGAGAGAGAGAGAGAGAGAGAGAGAGAGAGAGAGATAGAGAGAGAGAAGAGAGAGAGAGAGAGAGGAGAGAGAGAGAGGAGAGAGAGAGAGAGAGAGAGAGAGAGAGAGAGAGAGAGAGAGAGAGAGAGAGAGAGAGAGAGAGAGAGAGAGAGAGAGAGAGAGAGAGAGAGAGAGAGAGAGAGAGAGAGAGAGAGAGAGAGAGAGAGAGAGAGACCGCTGTGGTGTGCTCGTCAGCTGACCGCTACGTGTATATATATATGTATATATATATATATATATATATATATATATATATATATATATATATATATATACATGCATTTATAACATTATATTGTTATGTATGTGTGCATTACGGATCAGTACGATTCTCATAAGTGGACATAATCCTTGAAGTCAAATCGCCCGTGACAGGTAAACATCATCAGGTCGGAGACTTGCTACTGCACGTGATGTAGATACACAAGTTATCGCAATGCATGTGCACAACAGCGAGTGTACCTCTATGCCAGTAGCACGGGTCTACCAAACATTCGCACCATAATCAGCCGGGTAACATCAGAAGAGGCGTGGTTGATTTCTTAGGGCATAAAGCCACCGTTGACAGGGCACCGTAGGGACGTCGCATCGTCCCGCCCGTTACGTCCGGCGCCAGCTGACCGCTGCGGTGTGCTCGCCGGCTGTCCGCTGTGGTGTGCTCGCCGGCTGACCGCTGTGGTGTGCTCGCTGGCTGACCGCTGTGGTGTGCTCGCCGGCTGACCGCTGTGGTGTGCTCGCTAGCCGACCGCTGTGATGTGCTCGCCAGCTGACCGCTGTGGTGTGCCGGCCAGCCGACCGCTGTGGTGTGCTGGCCAGCCGACCGCTGTGGTGTGCTCGTCAGCTGACCGCTGTGGTGTGCTCGCTAGCCGACCGCTGTGATGTGCTCGCCAGCTGACCGCTGTGGTGTGCTGGCCAGCCGACCGCTGTGGTGTGCTCGTCAGCTGACCGCTATGGTGTGCTCGTCAGCTGACCGCTGTGACGTGCTCTCCGGCTGACCGCTGTGGTGTGCTTGCCAGCCGACCGCTGTGGTGTGCTCGTCAGCTGACCTCTGTGGTGTGCTCTCCGGCTGACCGCTGTGGTGTGCTTGCCAGCCGACCGCTGTGGTGTGCTCGCCAGCCGACTGCTGTGGTGTGCTCGTCAGCTGACCGCTGTGGTATGCCTGCCAGCCGACCGCTGTGGTGTGCTCGCCATCCGACCGCTGCGGCTACTCCCCTCGCTGATACGGCAGCCCGCTAATCACTCAGGCGCTAATGGTGTTAAAGGCCACTTGACGGTTGCAGTGGCCGCGGGGCACGGTCGCCCCTTGGCAGTTCATCGCGACCACGTCTGGGCACGGGGGGGGGGGGGGGCGTTGCACGTTAAACCCACGGCACAGTCGGATAACCAGAACCACACGTTCAAAAGGCGGTAAGCCCGGAGAGGGCTAAGGAGGCGACCTCCTACCGGCCGCAGAGCGGGATTTCCGTCGGCTGCGAGAGGCGGTCGCGGATGTCAAGTATGTCAAATATATCGACGATCGTAGCACTGGTCGCCGAGGGAGGCTCCCTACGAGGTTGCAAACACAGGTCTCCAGAGCGGTGTTTAAATGTTCCCTCCCAGCAAATATACATAAGACGCGTTGGATGGCGTTGAAGAAAGCCGGAACGCAAGAAATGTTCCATAAAAGGCACTTATTGCAATAGCATTTGGTAATCCTGGGAGCCTTGTCACCAGGGGAAGGGAATTGCACGACCCGCTGCCCGAAAATGAACCTTTGAACTGCTGAACAAAAATGAATGAATGAAAAATGACTCAGAACTAGTAAATTTTACATGTCGTTTGTTATGTCAAAGTCGCTATCGCCCAGCCCAATGTTTTGCTCACATGCTCGAACGTGCTTGTGCTGTTGGCAACGCTTGAGCAGTGGAGCGAGCACGCTAATCAACCAAGCAGCGAACCACGGCACGCTCGGCCGACCAACGTTCATACACGACGCCGCCGGCACCGACTGCTTCTTCGTGTGACGTCACGTTTTTGTCCTCTGCTGTCATAGTCGTGCAGAGTTTGTGCGTGCGGAGACGCGTGGTGTCACTGAATGGCGGACACGTACCGTGCAAAATTCGTTTCAGATGACTGGATTGGCCTTGAACGGTGGCAAGAAGATCCAGATCAATCTGCAGTTGAAGCAATACCCCAAAGTGCACGGTTTGGAACATATACCGGAGATCCTGTTCCCGCTCATTTACACGAATGAGGTGAGCAGGTCTGCAGACTGCCCAATCAGCCGGGACACGAGTTCACTGACAATCAGCGGGGACGCACGCGGGGTCAGAGATAATCAGCCGGGACGCGGGGTCACTGACGATCAGCCGGGACGCGGGGTCACTGATGATCAGCAGAGGCAAGGGTTCACTGACGATCAGCCGGGACACGAGTTCACTGACAATCAGCCGGGACGCACACGGGGTCACTGACAATCAGCCGGGACGCGGGGTCACTGAGAGTCAGTCGGGACGCGGGGTCACTGACGATCAGCCGGGTCGAGGATTCACTGACAAGCAGCCGGGACGCGACTTCACTGACAATCAGCCGGAACGCGAGTGAAAAACATTCAGTACTAAACGCGAAGGTGCTGTGCATCATTTCAGCGTTAGCGTGCCCCCTGGCCTACGGGCTGTGCACAAGCGCCACACACCGAGCTTTAACATTTCGCCCCTTGGATTCGGAGATGCGCTATCGGTGTTAAAGAGAAGGACTGGGGGGCGCTGCTCCACGTCTTCTGGCGACCAGAAATCCCACGCCCTCGCGTGACCCTGTTCTGTCCTTGCACTAGACTGCCACGATCGACCAGAAGGGCGCCGACGACTTCGATCACCAGCTGAAGCTGCCGCTGAAGCTGCTGAAGGCCGCCCAGTGGGTGCTCATCTCGGTCGGCATTGTCATGATGCTGATTTCAGTGGCTCTCTGGTACAGAAACCGCTCAAGACTCACGACGGTGAGTCGGACTGGAATTGCCGCACAGGCGCGAGGAGCGGTAGCGGTGAGGTTCAGATGGGAGCCGTAGGTGCCAACCGGTATGCCATTTCCTAACCGCATCATATTGTAAAATGTAATATGACTTGGCGTGGTTTGATCGAGGGCATAGTTCGACAGCATTTGATTCCCTTATTGGACAAGTCCCCTGCCTTGCAGTTAGGCCCCGAGAGGTAGCTTGATTTGCCCACGGCGATGATCGAGGGATAGAGACGTTCTGATACACGCTTTGTCCACTGTCGATTGCAGGTGTGAAATGGGGCATCGTTTTCTAGTCTACTCATCGTCAATGTCGCAAGATGAAGAGTCCACACAGACAAGGCGTCATCGATGCAGCTCGGCCCAACGCACGCACGAGTGCTGTAAAAGACGGCCTGGCGGGCAGCGCTGGGGATGAGTGCCGACGCTAGCGCCATGTTGGGGCGTGCTAAGTCTGATGCCACGTGAGGACGGCGGCAATGCCCGCTCGTCGCCCGTCGCCTGTCATCGGCGAGGCTGTGACCGCGGTCGCCGGGGGCGGCGCGGCCACGGTCGCCAGCAGCGGCTGTGTGAGTCCGAGCTCGCAGCCGCCGGTAGCCTGCCTGCCCACGGCAGCAACACGTGACGTGTCGCTCCTCGTTGCACACTGTGACACTGCATCACTCATCATGCGAATCGACGCATGCTGTTTTTATTTTGGGAGAGAGTGGCGTTCGTCTGACCGCGGAGGAAGGCGTCAAGCCTACTGTTGGCTTGAGTCTGAGCATGTCCGTCCGGTTGTTGTCTTCGAGGCGCGGCGCAGACCCTGCCACCGGCGAGGCGCGCACTGGTCGCGCCATGTAGACCAGTACACTCGGAGCGTAGGGGCAATGAACCGAAACACATGTTACATAGCTACCGATGAAGACAGTATATGATGACGCACTTGTACCAGCACGCCCATGTCGTGTCTGTGACATAAAGGCATATGACAAGGACCGTGAGCTTGCGTTTGTTGTATACTGTGCTACTCTATCCTGCAGAAGCCGCCGTTGTTGGGCGTGTGGCCATCCAATATGCCCTATCACGACAAATCCTGCAAGAGCCGCCGTCATTGGGCGTGTGGCCATCCAATGTGCTCTGGCACGACGAAGAATGATATATGTTTTCGTTCGCAGTCACGACGTTGCGAATGCGCGGTTGCGTCAAGACCACAAGGGGGTGCTTTAAGGGCGAAATTAAAAAAAAACTAAATGAGATATTCCGTCCAGGTAGCTAAGCTGGTTAGAACGACTACCTTCCGATTCACCCAGCCGTGGCGAGGTGGGTTCGGGCCCCGTTGGGTGCTCGCTTTATGCCCATGAGTGGTATGGCCCGCAGCCGGTGACAGCGCCCATCGCTAACGGCGAGGGGACGTGAGAAGACGGGAATGGCTGTGCCGGACGTTGTGGCACGTTCAACTCTTGCCGCAAAACTGCGCCGTTGACCCGAAACAACACGATCGAATAGTGGGATCCGGGTTCATGCAGCAAGCATTGGCCAGAGTGGGCGATGATCTTAGAAATCCTTCAATTAAGAAGTTTGGACCGAATCTTAAACAAACAAAACAAAACTCATTAACGCTCACATGCCTTCTGAATGAACTAAAAAAAATGCATTTTAAAAATGTTCTCATATATTCGGACACCGGAAGCATTGTCATGGGCATAAGCTTGACCACAGGTTCATTGGGAATGCTTGACGAAAAATTCGTGTTTCTGACGTTCATCAGTCACCCAGCGTAGACTCTGTAAGTAGATGTCGCGATTTGGTACTCAGTGCTGTGCAATGCAGGGAGCGGTACATTTACAATCTTTTAAGTGCAACTTTGGAGGTCAAGCATAGTGCAAAAAGCTTCATTTATCTTATCTCGCCATCGACCTGTGGAACGTAGACCACTCCTGGGCCCTCGATAAACGGCAGGCTGATAGGTCACAGTTTCGTCGTGCTTTGCCAGGCGCCGATGGCCGTTGACCACCGTCATGAACTTACCTCACACTTGGGTATCCAATTAAAGCCAGTCGTCTTCCCAGCTGCCTGCTGAGCTGTTTCCCAACCAAACTGGGTTATTTCGTGCCAGGTGGCAAACGGATTAAATCCGGAAGAAACTCTTTAACATTTTGTTTTCCTGTTCCACAACGGCGAGATAAGTGGGTTGACGTACTTCCCCGCACTGCATTCCCCTTCCTTCCTTTGTACAATACGCAGCGCGTCATTGCGAGGGTAAGATACTCAAACGAGGCCATACAGCAAAATAGAGCAGTCCACTGATGGAAGGAGATCGCATGGTTAACAGGCGAAAAGCACAAATGACGTCACTGTTACGTAGCACTCACGGGATGTCACGTAGCACGGGCCGCTTACACGTGATCCGTTATTGTTGTATCGGTTCGCAAAATCTAGGAGGAAGGATACACATCGCTTTACATTTGGGTAACAGTCAAAATAATGAATTCGCTCTATGTCAGATTACTTACGTTGCTTGTTAGGAACGGTGGAATAGCTGCACACACACCACAAAACATTCATGCATGTAAGCTAACTCATGAAGCGTACGCAAAATTTGCCGTACTTGTTGGAAACAAAGTTTGTTATCCTATGCCACCGAGGCATGTTCATAAATTATGTGCTTAGTCTTACATGATTGTAAAAGGCTTTCATTTTTCACCCGTCTGCCACTATGGCGGTCTCACCAACACTTAGCTGGGTTTGTATACACTTGGCGGTGATGTGTGCACTTTTAACAATGACACAATATATATGCATATATATATATATATATATATATATATATATATATATATATGTACTATACATACTAGATATGTAGCAATAGGATATAATTGACACAAACAAATCCTATCCTAGCTTTTACTCTCAGCCTTGACAGAAGGCGAGGGGCCTCCGCCTGCAACTTCCCAGGTACCGCACCTCCTCGACGTTTTCTCTGCAAGACTACTGCGGTGACTGGCAGGTACGATGTTTGTGCAGTGTACAAGTCGACCACCGGAGGCCCGTGGTCGCGGAAGATGCGGGTAATATTGGGGGACACAGAATAGGGTGCTACAGATGCCACGGCCAGTAATTCAAATGACATGAACATCTGATGCGATGACACTCGCCTGCATATGCTTACTCCTAAATGGATTCACACTCGGATTGGCATCACGTGCGGCCACCATGGCAAGGAGATCATATAGATTAGGCGGTGGTCAAGGCCACTATAGAGCTCCTTAGTATTTCGCAAGCACGAGTTGGTGCCGCAAGGTCAGATTTATCTCGATGATGTCAATAGGGCTGAAGTTATTTATGATGATGACGAGCCTCCCACCGTCAGATACACGCGATACTGCTTTATGACATAAGCGCCGACGTCGGCCATGTTTGGCGAGCCGAAGGCTAGCACCACGATTGCTCAACCCAGTGAAGGCGGATCCTCTAAGGAGCGATCATCTGAAGATCCTCTGGGGACGGGGCAGGGAGGGGGGGGGGGGGGGAGGCGATGACATTTGTAATTGGCACCTTTCAATGGAACATTATGTTTATACCACATATCTCCAGAGGCAGCGGCGGGGGAGCTGTATCATGCGTCACCACTGAGTCTGGTGACGGTGGCGGTGGGGCGCATCATGCGTCACCGCTGAGTCTGGTGACGGTTGCGGTGTGGCGCACCACGGGGCCAGGACCTTAACTCAGCTAACAGGCGACCGCTCGCATTACTCACTTCTCTCACAATTACACAATCACACTGCATTCGAGCAACCGAGAACAGACTGTAACTGCTGAGCCAATCGTCTCCCGCCGTTTGCGAACAGCAGGCGATGTTTTTCGAGCCCCTCCAGGTTATCCACGTCTAGGTCCGCGTACACCTGCCCTGTTGGTACGCATCTGCGTGCGTATAGCCGCCAGGTAAACCACGGGACCAATGTGATCTGTTATCGACAAACACTCAGCATGCGTTTGTTACACAGGGCAGTGGATTCGTAGTACACGCACGTGCAAAACCTATTTGGAAGAAGCGCGGTCACTTTTTGTAGGAAAATGCTCCATCCATTGTGTGCTAAACATGATCCACGGCCGCGTCTGGCATTTCGTTATGTCTGGCCAGTGACCACGGCCGCTGGCCCGATATGGATATGAGCTCTAAACGTACCCGTCTCTCAGGTGGGTCCCCGCGAGCACTAGACCCGTCTTCTGAACGTGTCAAGCTCCCTTGGAAGCAGCCTTGCTTTAGCACATACGCCTAGCTATAAGTTGGGTTCATCCTCCAACAACAGCTCGTCTTGCATCGGGCGCTGACGCAGCGGTCACATTTCAATGTGCTGTTGCTGCGCACAGGAGATGCAAACGCCAGATTGTGGACGGTAGAAAAATGAATAAACGCCCTTGAAGCAGGTATTTGCATGGTTGTGCAAGCAAGCGGTTCCCAAGCCTTGTGAGTGCGCTCCCTTGTCGCTGACACACGTGCGATGCAAACAGGTGTGCACACTGATCAGTACTGATGATTCTTCTAACTTCCCTTCAGTTTTCCTCGTACACAGACATGGAAGCCTGGGGTAACGTCATCACATTTGAATATGAGTGGATTGATGCAATTTGGGCATATTTAAAAAACTGTTGTAAATCTGAGTGATTGCGTGAAAGACTGAAAATTACGTGAGTTACACATTTACACATTACATGATTGCGGAATGAATTAATCAGTGAATTGTGCTTGAATCCATGCATTTAAATGGACTGAACCTGAGCATCGACAAACAACCCGAGTTAGGATTGAATTGTACCGAAATGACTGTCCCCCTATGTGGATTGGAGAGGATTGCAATGCCATGGAATCTTACAAATGTGCTTTTGGGTAGCATATTATAAACTCCTGACATTCTGGTGAAATAAGGTGTTTTGCAGATGTTTATGGAAAATGTCCCAAGTGTACCGTTTGGTAACATATTTGTCATAAAGGTGAAGCAAATGCCCGATCGAAATAAGCGTTAGTGGAGTGTGTTCGGCCGCATAATTAATAATCAACTCGTGTGTATTTCCTCAAAGCAGAAACCTCCTTCTCAGCTGCAAAAAGCTTCGAGTCAAATCGTCGAAATGTTGATGTTGTTAGTTTTCTCCTTCGTCTGCACAATGCGCAGGCATTCAACTACCGGTGGACTTGCTGCTTTTCATATCCGCGCATGGAAAACTTGTGTCATTCACAAGGGCCCGTTCCCCGTGGGGATGGCAGATTTTCTGTCCAAACCGGGCAAATGTACTATGCCTGGCTGACATAATAAGACTCACGGTTGAGCCCGGGTTAAAGCATGCCCAGGGACGCACAACAAGAGCGCGGGTTCCAGCTGCCGGAATGGTAACGGGTCGCCCCGGGCATAATATCAGCCTCTGCAAAGAAGTGGATGTGTCACCGGTTCCGATGACGCGATGGCCATCAGTGTTCTCTTGGACCAAGCTCCATTCCGGCCGTATTGGAGTCGTGTTATATTGGAGTCGTGTGATGCGCGTTAATGGTCTTTTTATCACGCCCGTTTCAGAAAGTTTCGTTCATGGCGTGAAATGTAGCGGGTAACCACACGATTACACGGGAGCGAGTACACGTAAAAACGCAGCACAGAGTCCTGCCAGTCCTGCACGCAGCACGGGTCCTGCCAGTTTGAAAGCCCCTGAACACAACAGCTCGGCCAGATTTACATATTGTCCGCGACGCTGGTGTAGCTAAGTCTCCAAAATCGGCGACAAGGTCAACGGAGACGTACAAAAGCAGCCTGTGCTGTTGTGGTAGGACACACAGCCGTTTGAACAGTTGGGCGTTTCGCCATCGGACAAGCGTCACACGGGAGACATGTGAGTATGCGGTGGCCATCATCCTGTTTTGTCTCAAGTGCGACGCCGTCGGTCCCATGAATGGACCATCTTGACGCGTGGGTTTTCAGCGCCATGGACTGAATAGTTCCCCTTTGGTAGCAACACCATGCTTCCATTCGTCTGAATAGGAAGCGTGAAGTCTTGACCACACTGTCCGTCATGGTCCGCAGGGGGATGCTGACCGGCGTGTTCGCCATCCTCGGCATGATTGCATATGCCCGGGGGTCCATATTCTCTGTTGGACACGTTTCTTACGTCGGGCGAGGAGGTAAGTGTCTTCCTTGGAAATATTTCGACATTACATGAGACGAAACTCGGCTTCTCTGGTGCGGAAGTATGTGTTGAATACTTGTCCGTCAGGTGTTTTTATCATGCGTGGTTTATCTTCATTTTTGTATTAAGCAGTATCATCAGACCAACTTTCCGAAGTGGAGATAGCGGTGGAATGCCGTTTAAAGACTGTTTTCAGTCTATTGAAAGAATGTCCATGTTGGGATGCGTCGGATCTTATCTTAACTGTGATTTAAATTTACATTGTGTTCTGTCTCGGAGCTTCTGTTATCACTATGACCGTTTTTGCGAGCATCGTTATGTCTTCAAGTGTTACAAGTTCCTATTTTGCAATATCATTCTATGGTAGGGATTCACGAAGTTTTCTGATAAAATGCATGCCTTAGATTGCCTGTCAGATTGGCGCGTCTTGGAGAGAGAGAGAGAGAGAGAGAGAGAGAGAGAGAGAGAGAGAGAGAGAGAGAGAGAGAGGAGAGAGAGAGAGAGAGAGAGAGAGAGAGAGAGAGAGGAGAGAGGAGAGAGAGAGAGAGAGAGAGAGAGAGAGAGAGAGAGAGAGAGAGAGAGAGAGAGAGAGAGAGAGAGAGAGAGAGAGAGAGAGAGAGAGAAAGAGAGAGAGAGAGTGGGGAAATCTGCCGCTTGTAGTTTTATCCCCGGTGATGTGAAAGCCATGCCATTTTTTAACCGTCGTTGAGCCGTTTTAAAGGGAATTTTTCTCATTTAAAGATATTGAAGTTAGCATTAGATATATGAATTAAGCTCACTTTTAATTTTCGGTATACTTTTCAGCGAAAAACACTGCTTTTTACAACACAGTTCCTGTTTCGTGGATAAACTCCTCAATTCATTGTCTGATTATTGTTTGATTGCATCATCGCAAACTGCGCAACGTTGATTGAGAGCCAAGTGATGGCCGCTACATCTGGAAATCGTGCTCATGAACGCCAAACATGAGCAACGCGACAATTATATTTCCATTTGCCTTGATTGCTGCATTGGTTATGAAATGGATGGATCTGAATGGCATCATTATGGCGTCATGGACGCATGAATGACCTTAAAAAAGTCTCCCCGAAAAAGTCTGCACGTTTTCTCAAACCTGTAGGTCAGAAACTAAACAGGTTTAGTTCTAAAGACCGGCAGGGCTGTGACCTGTACCGAATGATCCCCAAGATGGTCACCTCAGTTCAAAACCCGATACAAATGTGAAACACTCCCTTTAAGGATAAATGATATGAACCATAAACAAAGCCATAGTACTCAGCAGCCTCAAACGTAATCATTACACTTGAAAAACACCAACACGCTCTTGCGAGTAAAGAATCTACAATTACAGAGGCCACGTAACGAACATACGCGGTACTGCGTAACTATAATGTAATTGATGAAATTTGGGGAAAATGATACCAAATGGAATCTCAGCTAATGTCAAATTAAACGTAAATTCAATTCGGCAAGTCAATGGAGTGAATTTCCTAGGAGCTCATTCCAGGACCCTGGAGACCCATTCCAATCTAGGACCCTAATCTCGTCTCTTTCCCCTTGTGTCCTTCTGCAAACGGTGGCAACAGCTTCTGCTGAAGGGGGAATACGTGGCGCCGTTGGATTCAAGCTCGATCTGAGCGAGTTAACTTTCCAATGTCAAATATTGTTATGAGAATAACATCATGGACGGAGATAATGCTAAACGAGCACATGCTTCCTTTCGGCGTGCAGGGCCACAGTCTTGGCCTATGAAGGGCCTTGTATTTGACGGCAGCTGTGTCACGTAACCGTTCACCGTAACCGTTCACTGCCGCTCTGTCACGAGCGGCCGACCGGCGGTGTGGCCACAGTCTTGGCCTATTGTTTATGTCCGGTGTTTCTGTTTCCTCGTTCCAGGAAAGATTCGGTTCGAGAACGTGTTGAGCGATGACGACAACAGTTGGAATTACTTCAGGGGTCACTTTAAATGCAAGGATCCCGGCTACTACTACATCTCCTTCCACGGACTGTCGAGAAGAAATGATGCCCTTACGTGAGGTTACTCACGAACTTCTTCAGCTCGGTTGCTACGGCCATACGCCACAGCTGTTGATGTGGTAACGTGAGGTAGGTCTGATCTCCACATGGTTCAGACCACTGACCGCTGGAATCGAGCTTATTCCATTAGATTTCAGTTCCACGTGTTAGCATAATTGCGGTTGTTACTTCTCTGGTTGAAGAGCTGCGTTTGGGAGCAGGCATCCGTGCCGATGCCGGCGGACTTGGCGGTGCGCTAGCATGACGAAAAGCTTTAAGGACTGTCATTTCAGGCTGAATCTCCATCACAATTTCAACGAGGCTCTAGCTGGCTTTGGGGACGGCTCCGGGTACAACACTGCAAGCAACTCCGCGATCCTCTACTTGGCCAGGGGAGACACCATATCGCTACACGTAAGCAGAGTTTACATGTTTGTATCATGTCTCAAGCGCGACAGGGTTTGCGCAACAGGTCTCAAGGGTTTGCCATTAAACATGAATATGGTTGCATTTAAAAACCCCCCTTTATCATGAGACGATGCGATCTTTGCGTCTCGTCTGCTTTTGTCTCTTCGGTCAGAATGCCCATTCCATTTTACATATTTTTTTCCCATAAGGAATGCACAGTAACTGATGCCGAAGCCTACATCGTTCAAAAAGGAATCTCAATGGCTCCCAATCGGCTTCTTAGCGGCTGCTGGTATTTGGTGGCTGGTGATTGGTGGATGGTGGCGGATGATTGGCGGATGGTGGTGGCTTGTGCTGGCTGCTGGTATAAAGAGTTTGATTTTGCTAAAAGATTGCTCCTAGATCTGAAGTAAACAGAACGTGTCTTGTCATGAGTGTTATTTTTAACTTCCTTTAAGATAAAAAATTGTTAGTTATAGGCCACAGTATGTTAAACGGGCAACATGCCATCAACTTAACGTTGAAGGGAATGTTCTTCATGTGAAGATGTTGAGGCAGCATGAGATATGACGAAATAAGCCCACTTGTAACTACTGGTTTGATTTGACACGCGCTCGGGCGGGGTGGGTTAAATGTCCCTTCCCCCCCCCCCCCCCGAAGGCCTCTCTAGTACACTTTACGAACGGAGCGGCATAGCCGCGAGAAACTTTGCGTAGCCGTAAGCAGTCATGCAGCGAAGTTTTGGGTGCGCCAAATGTAGATGTACCTTGTAAAATCACTGACCTATGGTAGATCAAAGTCAGACTGTGGCTACCAGCGAACGAAACTTCTGGGGAATCGTTCAGTATATTGCGACATCGGAGTGTTAGACGAAGCCATGCATTTCTGAGGTATTATCTAAGACTATTTAATTGAATTGAGGATTGCGACAAATTTCATTGATTTTGTGTTAGATATAGCGGTCAGACAGAGCTTAAAACCAACGTGTTTTTTCTACAGAACTTGCCTTATAGAAAAGTTTCTGATACTCATTTCAATTTTTTGACAGGAACCGTGGGGACCTCTGACGATGAAAGGAGATATAAGAACTTATGACGAGAGCCGACAGTGATACAATTGAGGGCCTGTCTTAGCCAGGGCCCCCAATACAGACCGGGGGGGGGGGGGGGTTAGGGCGCGTCGACTGCTGTAGGTCATGCAGCGTACTTCAGCTAAGGGTCCATCAAGGCGAATTGGAGTCTCTGCACCAGTCACTGTACCACCCGCGATGATAAGGGATCTTGCTGCCTTAATGAGGGTTCCTGTGTCGATCTGGGGCCAACCCCCTGGGTCAGAGATCTTCCCACGCCAGGGAGGGGATCAATAGATGACATATCTCTCTGAGAGCCTCCGGATCAACCAGGGGACCCTGCCTTCTGGTCTCCAGAACGTCAGCGGTTAGGTACCCCGCGCTGGGACTGAATGACCCTTCAGTCCTTGGCCGGGAACAATGATGTGCCCCTTGGTGCGCATTAACACTCCCTGAAATGCTAATGTGCACCAAGGGGCCCACGGAACCACAAAAGTAAGGGGCTCATGAATGCTCAATAGAGCAGACCGAAATTATATCAAAATCAAAACGGCCAGCCCATGTTTACCTGAGAACCAGCCTTTTGCAGAACCGACCTGTGAAATAAATCAAGTAAAAGTGTTATACCTGCGCGCCTGCAATCGTAGGTGAAAGAACAGCTTTGGCGGGGGTTACGGTTTCTGTAAAATGAGATGGCGTTGCCTGCAGCAGATGACATCAGGCGCTGGGCGTTGGGAGCATGAGAACAACTGTCGTGAAATAATGCCTCCGAAATTCTGCCAAAATCAATTCGCACCGTTCGAAGATTATGCTGGGGCGATGAGTTCGCCTGTTCAATTTCGGAGCTGTTCTTTGGACAGATTAACAGTTACAGCAACACGAAAAATAGAAATTCTACGTTTGTTCTTGCGGCTTTAATTGATGTCTCTATGCGTCCACTTGCACTCATTTCAGACGCGTCGTCACTTGTATCCGCCCGTTGGTCGCTGCGTAGTGTTAGCCGCCGAGTCAACACGGTGTGGCCTATGGAGACTGTAACGCCGGGTGTCGTAGTTTTGCTTGTTTGACTTGCGAGCGCACATGTTCAATTTTCAGAAATGATTACTGACTGCTTATGGGAGGTTGCTCGATGAACATAAGCTGGACATGTTAATTCAAATTTGTAACCCAATTCCAATCTACAATCTACGTTCCCGCCCTTCCTATGTCTGCTGAAGCTAGAAATAATCTGACAAACGCTCTGAGTTCTATCGGTTTAGGAACAGTCTGCTGCACCAGTGTAAGATGAGGTATGAAGCGGATTATTTCCTGCAGTCATTTAACACCCGCTGAATATTCCGGTTGTGGGGAATGGGGGGGGGGGGGGGGGCGGGATTGGGCTCTTTTACCATTGAAGGGAGTGTTCCACATTTGTATGGGTATTTGAGCTGAAAGATCCATCTTGAAGATCATTTGGTGCAATTTAATGCGCGCCTTTCTTAACACCTCAATCCCTCCACTTTCCGAGCTGCACGCTCGCAAAGATGTGCAGATTATTTCGCGCAGACTATTTCAAGGTCAACCAGGCATCCATCACGACATAGTAGTCACTCAAATCATGCCACTCCATCGGCCTTGAGGTGCTCAAGGCCAAGGAAAGTATAATTAATTAAGCCCTTCACACCTGGCGTTTGTGAGCACGACATCAGTGTCTGGCGGACACAGGGATGTAAAAACAGTTTACAGCCCTTGAGTGGGCTGGGTGGGGTCGAGACAGGTCTAGTTACTCGTTTGAACAAAAGGCCCCCTGAAATTGTGCAAAAGCTGTGCGAATGGTTCAGTGATTTATTAGCATGCACTATGTATGACGCTGGAATACTATGCAAAGACACTAGACCACCATACATGACATATTACGCTAACCGCCAGGTCACCCAAGGTATGAAAAATGCAAATTATTTCGGCTGAGCATCGCATCTTAAAGGGGCAGCCAAAGCTGTCATTTCACATGAACTATGGCGACGACCATCAGTGTGGTGGCTTACAGACAACCATAAATCACATTTGAGAGGTCCATTGACTTCGCATTAATACCCCGCGTTGGTGCTTTGGTTCCGATAGCGATATGCAACGTGTATCACGCACTAAAACTATTTGTAAAATAAAGTCAATTTGCTTTCCCTGTACTTACTTGCATAATTGTGCATAACGAATTTTGAGCGAGATACGTTATTACAGGCTTCCCGCGATTCCTAGCATAGCAGCTCGGTTACAAAATATGTTAAGCAAATGTCTGAGCCGCAGGTGTGTTAAATCAAAGCAGGCGTTGTTAAACAAATAATTATCCATAACAGTAGCAAGCAAGATTTCACTTCGTGACCACAGTTTGGTTCCCCTGGATGTGGACGCCGCCTCTTCCGCAAATTTTGAGCTCTTGAAGAACAACTTCTTGAGAAAATGGGGCACGCAGCTAAGTCAGATGAAAATGCTGCCTGGTTCATAAGGATGACGATAATAAGCGCGATTTCAGTATGTAAATTTATATCACATCGATACGTCAAGAGTTATGTCTAAACGTTGAAAGGTGCACTCCGTAGGGGACGGTTACCCCCTTCCGCCATCTCACCGTCCCTGACCGAGGCTGGATGTTTCGCTTGTACATTATACCTGCTGCTTTTTGCTCATGGTGTTACAGTGTCAATATGCTCGGCAGCACTGATTCGTAGCTGTAAAAGATGCGCAAAATCTATGATGAGACAAAACGACGCCCGTGCTTTTTGAAAATGCGAGAGGAAGCTTCTTTGAATCTTGAGCTCTTGGTGCCGTAGAAAAGCAACGGTTTCGTAGGTAAATGGACATGGCTCGTTCTTCGCTTGCTTTCCAACGAGCCCTGGACTGCTTGAGCTTGCTCCTACCCATTCAAGTGCATTGATGCCTGAATGATTTATGCTCTGGCCTCCGCCTTTCGCAGATTGTTGAAGGTAACATTCATGAATCGGGTCAGCCCAACCGCAATTATGCCACCTTGTCTGGCTACAAGATCGGCGGTGGTGCTCCTCCTCCGCCCTTCAGCCCCTCTGGTGGGCAGGGCGGAGGCGGCCCCACATCCACTTTCGGAGGCGCTCCTGGAGGCAGCTTCGCAGCCTCTCCCGGAGGCGGCCAGGAAGGACAAAACGAGGACGACTTCAAGCCTCTGACGCCGGATGCCGGGGGACCCTAATTGGAGAGCATCACCATCGCCCTGGCTTGGTTAACCTGCGAGGTGTTCGCCCTGGTTTTGGTCCTTGCATCTACAAGATGATTGAAACACATGATTTGCCACAGTCCCCTGGGATTTTGTACGTAGGTCGCTTTTCACATTGAAGTCACGTTTTTGCTTGATTTTAAGCTTTCGCTTTGATGGGTGAGCAACAATTTATCCGTGGAAAGTCATACGAACGATGTATGAACGTCGCTGAACTACCATAAGTAACCATCACCTGTGAATTTCATGACTTAGTTTGCAATCAGCTACTTCAAAGGTGAAGAAACGTAGCAAGAACAAAATCTGTTATGTGACAAGAAAATATCATTTTGCGCATTGTTTAAACAGAAGCCGTCCGTTGCGTTTTGAGAGCATTTGCGTCTTAAGTGTAAGTGGTTCTAGAAAGAATATATGCGGCAATTCTGACTTGTGTGATTAGCTACGGTGAAATACGAGCATCGGAAGCACACAAAATGAATTTCCATGCCTTGCCATGGAGGACGGAAAGCGCCACCTCCAGTTCTCTGCCTGCGAAGCCTCAACTAGCTGTTCATTATCTATGAGCGGTAGCGCACCCAGAGCGTGATTTGGCAGCAGGACACGGCCTTAGCGGCTGGCCATCTCGTCGTTGCCTGAGGGGTGAGAGCATGAAGGCAAATTACCTGGTTTCACAACAGCAATTTTACCTGGGTCCAGCCATTTCCCACCGAAAACACGTGAACGGTGGGGCGAATCGAAAACAAGCACAAGGTATCAGTTGAAAGCGCTACGCGCGCATGTTTGCGAGGTAAGTACACTTATCCCTCGTCCGTGCCTTCCCATAGTCGCATTTTTCTGTTTCATCTTTGATATTGGAACCTGGAATGAGCTTAAGGTAAGCGCATGACGACCCGTCTAATCCTCTCACTGGGATCATTGGCCATTGCTCATCACTGGGTATTTTTCCCAGCTGCCCAGTCACCTACACGATCCCTACGGCGGCCAGAGCTGACGTGGCTCTCCATGGCCCGGCCCATTCCTGGATGTTGGAGTCCCTGACCCCTTCGGGCGTTGGAAATGGGAGCCCCTTGTTTAGTCCTGACCATTGGTAATGCGACTGGGTGCCATGGCCGTTTTGACGACTTCCGTTTGACGTCACAGAACTAAAATATTTGCTAAATCCTCCCAGCCATCTCCTATGCTTCTGGGCTCTAGGCGATCTTCAGTCAGACCATTGCACCAAGCACAAACTTGACCCGTGCTGGTTTTGGGGTTTCTGAGATTTAGCCATATCGCCGCGTTTCCACTTTGCGAGGATTAACCTTAGGGAATCGTTGCAGTTACTTTCTTACCCCACGTCACGGGTAATGGTGCGATGTGATGTATGGTGACTGAAAACACGCTGTAGCTGTTCCATTCTACTTAGCATTCTTTTCTTCCATTCTCCTAAATTTTTGCTTAATTTGTAATCGAGATTAAGAAGGCTGAGCACTTAGATTCGTCGTTTTTGTTTTCAGAGGCAAAGAAATCCCATGCATGCAGCTTCGTTTGACAAACGAGTCGCAACTATTTCCCAACATTTGCTAGAGCAACAACCAAAATGTCGTTGATGTGCCTTAGCCCGTCGCGTCACGAAACGAATGATGTGATACGGACGTGATCGTGAACTTTACCAATTATCGTCAGCCATCTCGTGGATGTTGCCAAAACGGAAGCCACTAACGTGTGCCGGATCGGCTCCGTCAACCCAGCCCGACCAAACGTTTGAAGATTAAAACCTGCGTAATCATTAAAGGAATCCAGGACTGGAAGTTACCAGCAGACCTGTCTGACATTTGAGCAGAAGACTATTTGACATTTTGTCAGCAGAATATTTGACATTTGAGCAGCGGGCCAGCAGGCTATTTCGCTCCTTAAGCACCCGTATCGCATAACAGACTTATACGGCCTTTCAAAAAAGCACACGCCTTACAGTGCAACTCATCAGATCGTATTGGCATGGGTTGCCCCTTTAAATACCTGCCGTGAACTCTTAGCGGTATTGTAACCCTGATTCTGTCTATAATTCCTGGTCAGCCGCATAACACGGAATTATATCTGGAGACAGCAAGTATATGTCCCCGGCTAAGACTTCTTCATAAAGTCTGGCTGCTAAACATGGATAAGACAGACTGGGGCACGGCAGTAGCTTTATTAAAGAGCGTATAGCTTCGGTAATGAAAACGTCCGAACTGAATTAATTAATGATCTAATGAGCTTTGGAAACCTGGTGTACAGGTAAACGAAAGGAGTGTTAATGGGCAATCGCTGAACTCCCGTTCCAACTATAGCATTTAAACACTCCCTTAAGTCATAAGATCCAGCTAAATGAGGTTCATTGTTAAAATAGTAGTTATAGCCGCATTCCTCGGAGAACAGTCAAGAGAATGGAGATCATCCAGGCACGTGCTATGCCCCTGGATGTGCGATGTGTGCTAGCTTAAAATCGTTTACACGTGTAAGTGATGCCTGACGCGTGATGGGCAATACCTTTGTAATTGGAATTGCTTGCATGCATGATTGACGCGTGGTATGTGGTGCCTGCTTACTTAAACTTGCTTGCATGTTTGAGTGAAGCGTGGTGCGTGATGCCCGGTAACTTGTTCGTTTGCATGTACGCGTTATTCGCGCATTCTTCTTCTTAGTTAGGCATGCAATATATCGTAGTTGTGCCCGCAGAGAGGCCCAGGTGGCCCAAGGGAACCGACTATCGAAGGCCCGGTTGGAGGATATAAATGCCTGAATGACCGGCTGCAGGTCACATACAGAATCGAGCGGAAGGAAAGGAGGAAAAAGTGGACAAGCTCAAACAATCCCGGAACGCCCATCGCTGGAAAGTAGTTGGAGATCGCTGTTTATTTGGGAGATTGTAGTGGACAAAATTTGCATGCCAGAAAATCCATTCCCGATGCTTTTGCCTACCTCAACGCAAACTAAACGTGCTGAATTACATGCACTAAGTGCTTCACACGGACCCGAGAGCGTTTGTAGGACAATGATCAAAACGTCCTTTGGCGCCGAGCATATCAATACTGTTCCCAGTTTGACAAGTGTTTAAGGCTCTAAATGCGTTGGGCTTGACTTCGCGCTAGATGCCACATCCTGAGGCCTTGCTAACAGGTTTTCGAATGCTTGCGAGGCTGCATTGACGTCAGTAAAGGCATCTATCTAGAACAATTTGAGTTCAACTTTTCAGAGCCTCGGTGAGCTGTTTGTAATACTTTTCTATATAGCGTTGGGTTTGCTGAGGTGATTTTCAGTACGCTCAACACTGCGCTACAGATGTTCAATATTTAAGCGCATACGTATAAAAAGCATTGAAGAATCAGCTGACCTTAAGGCCGACATGGCATCGTCGACATCGTGGGTCTGGCAACGGCTGAAGCTTTAAATGACTGTGACCAGACTGTTGCGAAAAACATAATGATTTTGGATGTACACTGGTTACGATAAAGTGGGCTGGATACTGATGCAGTTCAGGTCTGCATGGGTATCTCCTTACATTTAGGCCAGCGTGTCGCACGACAGCATGGTCTTAGAAAGGTGACGGTGGCTGCACGCCGGACTATGTTAGCACACACACAGCCGGATAGTGCTGAGACTGTTCACCAATTTGCAGCGGTACAGTCACCTCTGGCCTACAGATGGCTCCTTCTCTCTCAAGAGAATGACCGGATGCGCGCATCAGTGCACACATTTCTCCCGCCGTTTCCCCAAACGACATGCACTCTCCCCTCCGTCACAGTTCACTGACCTCACGTGTCACTGCGACGCCGGGTAATCGACATGCAGCTGGCCTTCTAACCGTCTTCCTCAACTCTTTCGCAACCACAAAAATTGACGTCGACTACCTGAATCAAGTCCACTTAATTTCATTCTCCTTTGGGAGACGACAATGTGGAAATAACGCAACGCTGCAGAATCCATTACAAGCAAATGCCCTCAAATGATTGCATTACGATTGCGCCACCCACTGATTGAAGTTGCAAGGCGCCACGATCGCTGGTTGCAGGATGTGCCCGCCCGTCGAAAGCGTATTTAACCGGACAGTGATGGACCGGTTCGCCGAGGCAATGACGTTACGAACTCATTCACAGACTACACACTTTGAAGGAATCATTTACGCACTACATACTTTAACGGACTCGTTTGCAATCTGCAAGCTGTGGCGAACTGGCGTACATACTACAGACTTTGAAGGACTTGTTTGCAGTTTTATTCTTATCAAAATGTATCCCCTTTAAAACCGTTTTAGCCCTGTGCGTAAAATTAATATTATATGCAGATGTAGTTGTGAGTTAGCAAATCTCAAAAAACGCTCCAATGCCAGATACCATTCCTATCATGTTAACAGCCGCTTTTGTTTCGCACCATGAGTGTGATTAGTGTTAAAACAGACGGTATTTTCTAGAACTAAGCTTTCTTTTCAGATGCGTGCTGGGGAGGGGTCTGGTAAGAGGAAAATGGATCGAATTCGGGGAGAATTTATTTAAGGCTACTTTGCGAGTAGGGCCAGGTGTTTCCTCTCCTTAACTTAATTTGCGAAGCTATTCCCTTGGTGTGTACAGCACTTGGATCAGCAGAGAGAGAGAGAGAGAGTACTTTTAAGGTCTTGTGGGCTCGAGATGCGCATGGTATCCGGGGCAATGTCACCCAATCTTGGCCTTCTCGTGGGGCCCCAAATGGTTCCCATGACCCTTCCCTCGGAGCTGATTAGCTCTTAATCATGTGCAAGTTTGTTTATCAGGATATGTTTGGGATTAAGACGCATAAGCTATGCCAGGAGAAAATACTGGAAACACTACAAGTTTCAGGCATTGCAAGTGGCCTGCCACTTCCTGGGGCTACCATATATGCGGGAAAAATGCACACAATTGTTGCGCGCCACTACTCAACGCGAACGTTTAGCACACTTTCGGGTGTCAGGTCAGTAGGGCTGCGGTAAGTTACAGTTCATTTTGGAGATATTGTTAAATAGGTTAGGTCTGTAGTGTGGATATGTGTTGCGAGATATTTGGTATTTTATTGTAGGTCTTGGCCATTGCCATACTCAAAAATGATTTCACTGGGGCCTTGACATTTTTAATTAACTGAATAATCTATGTGCAGAGTGTCTAACATCTGCAGAAGAAACAACTGGAATAAACTTAATTAATGTTAGGTATGCTGCTCTAAAAGTGCACGTGATTTTTACAAATCAAAATGCCAACACCCTGACTGACTTCACTGCAAAAGTTCTTTACCATCTGCACAGGCAAAGCAATCACATGCATTGTGTCATCTGCACATCAATCAGGTACCTTAACACAATATGGCTTCAGCACATCAGTACTTGCTGTTTTCCAATGTGCCAGGTTCTGAACTGACAGCCATAGGAAGCAAGAAGCCACAAGTTTTTATTGCTTTCCAACACTTGTAATGCGTAGTTTCATCCCCTTCTCTGGTGCTCTTGCGGAGGGTTTCTTGGGCACAAGGCCAATTCCAGGAACACAATTCTGCAAGACCTGTGGTGGAATTTGGCCTGGAGCTGTTTATCTTTGGCTTCTCTAGTCTACTAAATGCTTCAGTTCACAAGTCATGGCAGATTTTGATGAGGTCTTGTTGGGGCAGAGATGGGGCATGACCAAGCTCAACTTTCAGTGAGTTCAGCTCTGGTGTCTCCTTGAATTAGGCCGCTTTTGAAGAAAGGTCTGGTATTTGGTAATGCACCTCCTTTGTAGCATCACCACAAAGCCCCAGTCACCAGCAACCAGGTGACTGGGGCTTTGGTTCATGGTCTTGGACTCTTGAGGCCTTCATTTGAAGATATCAGAAGCAAGTGAACTATAATTTGGGAAATGCTCCATGCATGATCCAGGTAGCATGAGACGTAAGCAGTGACTTCTTTTCTTTAGTGCTTGCATTCTGTATAACTTTTTAAGAGCATGATGTCACAGGTAGGGCATTTCATTGGCAGCTGAAAGCTGCCTGCTGCCTGCCTTTTGTTGAAACCATTTCTAAGCATGATGTCTCAGATGGGAAAAGTTAATTGTAAAGTTAGGAGAGCTTCGCTGCTGGATGGGGAGAAGGATTTAATCTGCAGCAGCTGATTGATGAGACTAACAACAGAGTTGTGGCATCATTATTTGTGGATGACATTATCAAAAGTTAGGGCTTGAGTTTCATCAGAGAGTACAGAATTGGAAGGAAATAGAGAAGTTGTCACTCCAATCAGAAGAAGATATATTTAACCCCTGTGGCCTTGCAGGAAAAAAGCATCCAGAAACTAGGAATGTATTCTCTCAACTCCCTTCCCCATCTTAGAGGATTGGCTGTCATGTTAAATGGAATGTTTCATATTTGAGGATATTGAAGAAAGCATCAGGTGTGATGAAACAAGCTCACTTATAACCATTGGTATGCTTTTAAATGGGAAAGACTGCTTTAGACAGCACAATTCTCTGTTTAGTAAGTATGCTCCTCAGTGGGTCATGGTTTGATGATGTCACCATACCTTGCACATCATTAGAGCCAATTAAAGGTTGTTGTATCTGGAAATTATGGCTGCTTGGCTTGTGGAATGACAGGACTTTGACCTCCATTTATGTGGATATATAGCTCAAAAAACCAGATGGGCTTAGGTCTTAAAAAGGCAGGATCGCAAACAGCACCAAAAGGTCTTCAAGATGGCCGTTTCCATTCAAAACCCCATGTAAATGTGGGGCACTCCCTTTAAATGTATTTCATTGTCATTTTCATCAAATTCATGTGAGCCTTTGGGTTGAAAGTTTGTTCCAATTTTGTTCAATAACTTTATTTTATATTAGGTATTTGAATATAAAGATTTGTGATCACATCCTTCCTGGGGAGTACCAAGCAGTTGGGAGACCTATGGCTCACCTCCCTGTCATTGGCCATGCACCAGATTGTAACTCCTTGTGCGCCCCATATCGTACTGTTACTTGGTGTTTACTTTCCATTAAGAGGTGTTACACTGATGTCCATTGGCCCATGGGAGCTGTTTGTTGACATTTGTTTGTTTTTTCAGGAGCTGCACCACACAAACAGCAGTCAGCTAGTCACAACCATGGTAATCATGATCATTGTTTGGAATGTTCCTTGCTGAGGAAATGCATGTTCAAAGCTAAGCTGCTTTATGTGAGACCAGTTAACATGCACTACATGCTATCAGAACATGCCAATGTGTGACTCATTTGTATGGGTACAAAAATAAGTCAGTTAAAACAGACAGAATGCATTCTTAATGCAAAATACATTCATCATGAAGGCATTCTATACATTGCTTTTAATGAGTGCCTTTTGGGTCCATGAGAGGTTTTAAAGATTTAATTCATACCTTATGAAAAGATGGATGTTTGGGATCAGAGCTCACACCAAGCAGTGCTTGTTGTGTGAGCACTGACCCCTATGAGCCCATACTGAGTACCCTGAACCCAACAACAAAGTTATGCTGATCCAGTTTATCAGATGGTTGTTCCACCTGCATAAGATTATGAGATCATGAGGTCTGACCTAAGATCATGGAGGTCTGCTGAAGGCTATGGCATGTCTAGCCTGAGCCCTGTAGTCAGTTACCAGCTGACATTTACATGCCATTTGATCCAGTGTGTATTTTTTGGGACATACCCATTGCTGATGAATCATGAGCCCAGTACTTCCCATAGATGATAGAGGTGGTAAACTAGCTTTAGAAGGGAATTAACTTCTAAAGCACCAATAGTTTTTTATTAAACAATATGCAAACGACCTCAGTGCAAGCACTGCTGTATTGGGGCTAGCAATCTGTTGTTCACCCCAAACTACCAGAAGTCATTTAGTGCATGAGTCAAACAGGCTAGGAGAGCATCATCACACTTATCTGTATAATTGCTTCCAACCATCAGCTGAAACAGAACATTCATGGTTGACAGATTAGGGGAGGGAGTGAGGGTAGTGGCCCTCAATTGTAGTTGACCTCTCCAACCCCTCCCATCTACAGAGAGGCTCTACCACCTTCACATAACATGTTAAACAAACAGCATCATGTAATGAACTTGTTGATTACCCAATTACATCTTTGATGTGAGTGGTATTTTTCTGAACCACCAGGCATCAGTGTGTGATGTCAAAGTTGTTAAGTGATTTCAGTGATAGATGCAAGTACTCTTTTTGCAAGAAATATGAGGTGAATTTTCACTGACAAACTCACTACATGGATGCTAGTTATGTTGTCTCTTCCTATTAATTCTTAATGCATTATATCACACTGGTGCAGCCTGTCATGCTCTCCCTATCGACCTCTATTTCCTGAATGAAGCTCCCCCACACAGTTTAGCCAGTTGTGATTATCTCTGCACTTTATGGTAATGTCATAATGTTTCACAATAGTTTGTTGATAAGTAGCTCTCTGCATAGGCGCACAAATTATAAGGATTCGAACGATCATAAGCTAAAATCGAACCGATGTTAGCACGACTGGGGGTCCTCGTGGTTTGACGGTCTCACCCAATGAGATTATAGAGGGATCAGACCCAAGAAAAATGTACTTATGACATGCATAGGAAGATCTGGTACCTGTTTACCTTGGTATGGCGTTCGGCCGCTGCGGCCCAGTTGTCATGTGGAACGCTTGCAAAGTCACGAGTGTGCGGCAGGCATGTGCATTCGCCTGCCAACAATTGTGGATGCTCTCCGTCGGACTATCACTGGCAGCTGGCGAAAAGGGAAGCTCCGAAGCAGGGACGGGTTCATCACGGCCTTTCGCAGCACGTTGAAATCGTCCACAATGAGTGCTAAAGCTACTGCACTAGGATGGTGGGGCCAGAGTCTACCCAAGAAACTATGCTTCGTAAAGATTTACCTCATAGCCATCCTTGCAGAAGAGTTGGTCACAAGGTATTGAAGAAATCTCCTGGTTTTCGTGGCATCTGTCTTTTACCCGAAAGGCCGTTTGCGCTTCCGCAGGACGTGGGTTTTAATTTTTGGCTTTGTGTTTCAGTTACCACTGTCGTTGCTGAGGACCGCCCAAAGCCATCCTATGGTAAGATATGTTTGGTGGGCTCGGTGGCAGGATGGTTGCTCGATTAACACGCCTTTAGCTTTCTGCGAAAATCACACCTATCGTTGTGTTTGCCATTGATAAGTGTTGTGATGAGTGGTGAATGATAAGTGGTGAATGCGGGCGGGCTCGTCATGGGATGATTGTGGGATGGCAATTAGCTTTAACCAGGTCGGATCAGTACACGTAACACAATCATACACATGAAGTGGGCGTCCCCGAAGGAGTTTGAGCTACAGGCGTCCCTACTTGACTCACATTTCCTACATGAGGGAGAGGCAGAGGTTTCTGCCGTTCCTGGACTGTGATCACCCGCGAGAAGAAGGGACGGGGTTCCGGCCCTCCTGGATTGGAATTCCCCGCGGAGGCAGGGATTAGACTCCGGCCCTTCTAGGTTGGGATCTCCGTCGGAGGAAGGGGTGGGGTTCCGGCCCTTTTGACTGGGATTTCCCGTAGGAAAAAGGAGTGGGGTCCTGACAACTCCTGGAATGGGGCCTCTTGCGTGAGGGAGCGGCAGGGGCTCCATTCGCTCCTATTCTGAGATCTCTCGCAGGAGGCAAAGGTAGGGGTCTTGGCTTCTTCTGGACTGAGATCGCTCGCAGAAGGGAGAGGCAAGGGTCTTGGTCTCCTAGACTGTGATCTCGCTCAGAAAGGAGGGACAGGACCTTGGGTGATCCCCTTGGGCTGTAGTCGCTTAGGCCGTGGAGGGATTACGCGTCCCTTCTCAGAGCAGTGCTGTGGTATGCATAATTCACGGTAGGTAGTCACAGCACGTTTGCAATGCTCCATTTTGTTCTTCAGCTGGTGGAGTTGAAGAATGGCGAAACGTACAACGGCCACCTTGTTAGCTGTGACAACTGGATGAACATCAACATGCGAGAAGTGATCTGCACGTCTAGGGTGAGCGTTATGGAAACAAGAGGATGAGCGCCAGGCGAGAATAATGAGATCATGCTTGAGAAGGGCTGTAAATGGCACACAATTATCATAAGAGTACTGATAGGGCCAACTTATATGCGGAGGAAAAGAAGCTGGCATTCTGCCCGCTTATTTTGCTCATTGCGTCCCGGTGACACTTGCCGGGCGCCACAACTGGAACACTTGCCGCGTTATGGTCAGACGTTCGCTGGAACTTCCGAATAGTCCGTCACGTACTGAGCACCAATGGATGTTGACCTTGTTGGTCTTAGCAGACGCCCACGGTTCAGTCGCTCCAGAGTTGGATCGCAGTGTATTTTATTTAAATAAGACCCACGTATTCCTAGCCATTTAGCTTATTTTCGTTTTTGAAAAAACTGATCGCTCTCCCTTAAGCTGTTAAACAAAACGATACGGGACGTGCGCTCGGGGATCCGCTTTCGACCGCGCGCCGTCGCGGAGCTGGGTGCCTCCCTACGTGCGGACGGCGCCGTGTCACGCACTCTGACCTGGCGTCTGCGGGCCTCAGGACGGCGACAAGTTCTGGCGCATGCCGGAGTGCTACGTGCGGGGCTCGACCATCAAGTACCTGCGCATCCCGGACGAGGTTATCGACATGGTCAAGGAGGAAGTCATGGCCAAGGGTCGGGGGCGCGGCGACGGCAAGGGTCGCGGAGGACAGCGGGGCCGGGGCCGGGGAGGTAAGCCATGCGTGTGCGCTTCGTGGGTGGGTCAGAGGTGTTACGGGTAGACGTAGTGCGCCAGGGACAGTGCATGTAAGAAGAGCAGAGAAATCGCTGTCTGTACAAGGATAGGTCATTGCCCTGTGCTACGGTTAGTTATGAGCCGACAGGATGGCGGTAAAGGATTCAGGTTATGTCTGGGGACCAGTGGACGTGGACGTAGATGCAGTGAGGCCAGCAGGAGAGATATAGTCAGAACCACTCGGCCTTGCGTTTGATGAGAACCCTCAGTCCGAAGCTGTGCAACAACGAGGCCGGTGGGAGGACACTTCAGCGATGTTTCCATATTTGGATAAGGCTGGGATGGGTGCAGGGTTTTAACAGAAGGGACAGAGTTCTTGAGTGAAAACGCTTGAAGAAGCGCGGCATGTTGCTCACCAGCTGTTTGTGAGTAGCGTAGTTTAAGCGAGCCTTGGGTGGTACGCGCTGCTCTGTTTGTGACGTGACCTCTACCCTGATATGATGCGACCCTGGTGCGCCGATCAATTATATCGTAAACAAGCTTTTCGACAGTCGTCATAGCTGTACTGATCATGTTACGACGTGCCACCTCGGAACAGACTGTCAGTGCGTGCGTGACCTGTGTCCGTCCGGCGACTGACCGCCTGTCGCCCTGTCTCCAGGCTTCGGCGGCCGAGGGCGCGGCGGCCGCGGCGGCGGACGGGGCGGCGGCGACGGGTGGGGAGGTCGGGGCGGCGCCCGCAACTGACGCCACTCCGCTCCGCCCATCACCAGGCTGTGTGGCTTCGCGGCGGCGGCCGGCGGGCTCACGCGCCCGCTCTCACCCCGCGTTGCCGTCGCCGGCGATCGTGCGCCCATCATCGTGTCGCGCGCCGCCTGTGTCCCATTGAAGACTGGCAGGGAAACGCCGCATTCACGTGTACGTGTTTGTGTGTGTGACTGCGCCGCCCGGCGCCGGGGCTGTGGGTGGCGGACGCCAGCCGATCGGCTGGACCCGCCGCCGCTGTCTCACCCTCGCCGGCCTGCCGCGAGCGGCGGAAGGTGCGGCCCGTCTGGCGTGACGAGTAAGGAGTGCGGCCGGAACCGTCTGCGGGTGACTGGAAGGGCGATGGTGGTCACTGTCCATGTTTATTTATGGAGATGTTGGTCGCCCGCGGCTGATTGCGTCAGGTCTTCGTTTATTGGCATCGACAACGGGTGATTTTGAGTTTTCCGGCACTTGTAGCGCGGTTGAAGGCTGATGCCGCATACCAGTTTTCATCCGTAAAAGTGAATAACCGCTGTGTAAGAAGATCCCACCTCGTTTTATGCCGATAATATAGATGACTCAAAACTGACTCTCAGTACGCCGAGTGATTTTCTGGAGGTGGTGAGTAGCTCATATCTCAAACTGTTCCACATCATGACGGGCGCTGTTTCCGGCCGGGATCGGTTGTTCGCCGGGCGACGCCATCAGCTCGGACCACCCGTCGTTCGTCGGGCCCGCGCCGCGTCATGCCACCGGCAACGATGCCGTGGTTCGGTGATAACAGCCGACGAACCCGAACAGCTCGTGCCGCGAATGTCGGTGCGCCGAGCGACGAAAATGATTGCGTACTCCCTTCAGTGGGGGTGTTGCGGCGCGACGTGCACAGGACGTGGATCCAACGCATGCACCGGTGCGAGCTGCGCCAAACGACTCGGACAGGGCATTGATGAGTATTGTCTGAACGACTTGCATCGCTGCTCCCTGTTCCCGACGCGGTAGTGCGCAGTTGGGAAAAGGAGGATAAATAGCATTCCGGATACTCGCCTCGTGCTTTGAACAGAACGAGACACGGAAACGGCAGCAGACTCGTGTGTGGCCAGAGAGGCGCCGGCCACGAGAATGCCGAAGTTGCTGGAACGCGACGGGAAATACACTGCTATCTTCACCGTTCACAGACGCGCGCGATTCCGAGCGCTGACAGCTGTCGTCCACTCCTAGCTGGTAGTTGATCGCAATCACGCCGGTAGACGGTTCTGTTGGACATAGCTCCTGGTCTGCACCGGCGTCCGAGGGTCTCACACGGACAGGGTTTGGTGTAGCACGCTCCACGTCTGACGGCGGATATCCTGGCGGCGGCCGCCGTGCGAGGGCTGACGATCTCAGCCGTGCGAGCGGCTGACGATCTCAGCCGTGCGAGGAGATGACGATATCAGCCGTGCGATGAAATGACCATCTCAGCCGTGCGAGGAGCTGATGATCCCAGCCGCACGAAAAGCTGACGATATCAGCCGTGCGAGGAGATGGCGATCTCAGCCGTGCGAGGAGGTGACGATCTCAGCCGTGCGAGGGCTATGCCTGCGTGCGATCTCAGCCGCGCAATGATATCAACTTGCCACCGCCTGGAGGCCTGCCACCATCCGCCCGAGATTAGGCGGACATCTCGGGTCGGGTGAACGCCATTCATCGCCAGTGAGCTAAGATATGAGCTGGCACTGTTCGACGAATTTGGCTTTAGCCCTGCGATGTCACTTGCCCATCTGTCTCTCCCGAAAACCAATACTCTGCGAGGGCAAGCGTCTCTGTTGAGGATGCTCACGGAACACGCGTCAGAATGAGTTGGTGTGTCGCCGTTTGTTGAAAGGTGTTCGTTCACGCCCCGGCCATCGGGATGCCGTGCAGATCTATTAGAGAAAGCTCGTGCTGCTCAGACCGTTCACCGTTCTGTGACTACGCCCACATAGCGGGCATGACCGGTCTGGACAGGTCGAGACGGTCCGCGATGAACGGAGCTGCAGTGAGTCGAGGTTGTGTGGCCCATCCATCCGGGCCAGGTCATTAGCCGAATCATACGCGAAAGAGGTCAGTTAAAGCTCACTGCTATATTCGTAAGCAAAGGTCTGACGCCCGCCCCACGGTCCCGTTCAACATGCCGAGCCTCGTCACGGTCATGTTCACGCAGTTACCAAGCACTCGTGAGCCAGTAAGTCTCGCGCAATCAACAAGTTAGCTGCATTACAACCCAGCAACCGCCCTTCATAAGGGTTCTACCTCTCATTTGTAACGCTGCGTCGTCGGAAAGAACTCCCGACATGCAAATGGGCCGACAGATGACGGGCGTGGGCGCAGCTGGCTGAGGCGCATGCAGCCTTCATCCACCGCCGGTAGGTAGTGGAACGCCAGCTTTATCCGCCGCCGTTAGGTAGTGGAACGCAAGTTTTGTCCACTGCCGGTAGGTGACGGGACGTCCGCTTTTCTCCCCGATAGATGACGGGTGGCGAGCTTCGCCCACCACCGCTAGGTGGCGGATCATCAGCTTCGTCCGTTGCCGATAGGTGGCGGGCCGCCGCTACCGTCGAGAGCGCCCCGGACCGCCGGCAGACCGTCGCCGACCTCCGCCGTCAACAGTTCGCTAGCATGGCTCGCTGGGTGCCCATCATGTGCGTCGTGTTGCTCTGCGTCGCCTGCGCTGACGTAGCCGACGGTACCCCGAGGCGATCGGGCCGTGTCAGCCGGCGGCAAGAGCGGACCTCTCGTGTCCACCACCACCGGCACAAGCGGCACCACCGGAGCCACCCACCCAGCGTGCCTGAGCGACCGGCATCCGCCAGCCGCGCTCCACTGAGTCACAAGCAGGCTGCGCTAGAGGTAGGACACTGGGAGCGTTACAAGATTGTCCTCTGTATTGCCAAGGGGTACCAGGTACGGGTACCAGGGGTACGGGTACCAGGACGTGGGGCACGCGCTACCCGGCTGAGGACGCGTGGGAGGTACGGAGCTTAGAAGCAGGATGGCATGAAAGCAGCGGCGTTCGGAACGGAACAAAGCTGGTGTGCAGCTGTGTTCAGTATGCCGACAGGACGCGTATCGACGTTGTGGTGCCTGGTGGTGGAACAGGGCCGCTGATGGAGGCAGGCATTGTAACGGGCAGGATGTGGAATGTGCGGTGTGTGTGTGTGTGTGTGTGTGTGTGTGTGTGTGTGTGTGTGTGTGTGTGTGTGTGTGTGTGTGTGTGTGTGTGTGTGTGTGTGTGTGTGTGTGTGTGTGTGTGTGTGTGTGTGTGTGTGTGTATTTTGCATTTTCGCAGGGTCGGTGGTCAGTGACCATGCCGACGGGGGACTCCCCACCTCGGAGGCTCGCGCCCGGGCAAAGGGTGGTCCGATCTTTCCGGATGTAGAGGGCACGGAACTGGGCGCCGCTGAGTGGTAGCCGACTCAATCCCCATCAATCATTGGCATATGACAGTGTGCAGAAATTGCGGAGTATGCCATAGGCGAAATGCATGGTTACACCCATCTCAATGACATCAAGTGCTGGTTCAACAATTCTTTTTTTCAATCATGTGCGATGAAACAGCACGCCAAAGTCCTGCCTTGGAATGCCTGTGCAGGCTCCAACATGCTGCTAGCGGGAATTCCCTTTCCATGGAACCTTACACCCAGCAAAAGCACAGCTTCCCATCATAGATCGTCCATGCCAGAGAGAATTACGGGGCTTGCTGACTTGTTGACTTGTTACGGCAAACCGTAACAAGTCAACTTCGCTGCACTTTGTCCTTTGCAATGCAGTCTTCTCAGGGTAGTGCCATAATTTTTCAAATAGCACGATAAACGAACAAAAAGTTTCATCTTTTTAATACCCGTAGAAGCGCGAAGGTTTGGGCTTTTGTGTCCAAACACAATTCGAACTACGATTCCCACTTGAAGCGGAGAAGCACACAGGCATGCGTCGCATGTCAGGAAGTTGTTGACCCTAAGAGTTTCCTGCGGTATACGCCAGAGTGATACATGCATGCATGTATTTCTTCCTCTGTATTGCCAGGGGGCATCTGGGCCTTTGAGCCTCCAGTCGCCCCGGCTCAAGCGAGCACAGAATACTAGAGGTGCGAACCAGGATACAAGGACAGATAGGACTCAGATAGGACAGAATATTCACCTGCAAGCACTTTTATGCTCAACAGATAAACCGCGTAGCTTGGGTTTTAGTTGTAGCGTAATCGAATTTCTCCGCCTGTTCGGACATTCGTTGGAATTGCTAATGCCACTCAGTGGACATGCTCGTCTTGCACACCACATCAAGCAATGCGCAGCCTGCCGTTATGGTCACGAATCGCAAGAAGAGATTTCAATCAGCACTCGTGTGGCCGGTGCAAGGCGCAGGCGAGCTCAGTCGCCGTGCTCTGATGTCACCGCTCTGACCTACCGGCCGCACATGCGGCTCGGCATATGCCGTCGGCGCGCACCACCGGGGCACCGCACCACCCTCGGACGGGCCAGCGACTCCAGGACGGCGGGCTGGGGCAGTGCGCCGACGGGCCGCACCACCCGGGCTCCGCACCGCCCGAGGGCGGTGCGGATCACCTTTGTCACCTGATTTTCAGCACACCAACCGTGCTGAAGGTCTGGTGACGTCAGAGCGTGAGACGGACGGAGGCGAGTATCACGCTGCGTTAAAGGAATGTTTCACATTTGAAGATATTGAAGCAAGCATTAGATATGATGAAATAAGCTCGCTGATAACTTTTGGTATATTTTTAAGTGAAAAAGATTGCTCTAGACATCACAACTTCCCTTTTTAGTTCACATGCTCCTCAATGCACAATTGTTTTATTACGTCGCCGTACCATGCACATCGATTAAGACCCAGTTGACAGCTGTTATATGTGGAAATCGTGCTTCCGACCTCGAGATATGAACGACTTGACAGCTATGCTTTTCTTGGCTTTGGTCGCCGCATGGGCAATGGAATGGCGGGATTTGAATGACTTTGTTATGGTGTCATGGATGTCTGGGTGACCTTGAAATAGTCTGCACACATTTGCAGGAGTATAGCTCAGAAACAAAGGGGGCTTAGGCCCAAGAAGGGCAAGGCTGTGAACTGCACAAAACCGTCTTCAAGGTGGCTATTTCACTTCACATAGGGTGTGAAAAACATTAAACGCAAGGTAGCCTCGCACGGTATCTACGACTATTAAGGCTGCTGTGTGCTCCTGCCTCAATAACATGTAAGTTGGAAGAAATGACGTTACATCATGCTTTCTACGGTTTCGACGTAGCTTGCATTGGTCGGTGCAGTGAGGCTACCGCAATTCAAAGCTGGCCACCAATTTTTTGCCGGTGGAGATAATTCCAACGTGAGGTTCTTTAATGCCATTGCATCGTCTTCTATGGTCTTGACCTGGATCAGCCTGCACCTGGGGTCGTCTTTTACGGCGATGATATTGGTATGCTATGAAAGGTCCTTAAGAAAAAAAAACACTGAGCTGTTTTAAAACTTAATCCGACATGATATTGAACTTGAATGAAACCTACCCAGCTTGCCATATATATTGCTTCGGATCATGATATAATGGGTCTGACGGTTCCGGCGTTGTGATTTCACCTCGGTTAACCAGGACCTCGAACACATTAAAGAAAAGCTCGCGAGCGTTGAGGAGATGCATAGTATAACCACCTTATACTATCGGAAGCAATGGAAGTAACGCCTACGTGCACACATACCCAAGAGCGGGCCATGAACGTGTGATTTTCCACACTTCCACGTTATGGAGTTTTGAAAAAGAGGTCAATAGGTCCGTGTCGTCGCGCGTTGAAAAGTGGAAGCTTCCCGGTCCGGTGCAGAAAGGTTGGGGGTTCAGCTCTCTGTGACCTCATGGCACGATGATCAGGTTCGGAGATGCCCCGGAGAGCGGGATGCGTCACCCCGTCCCCCAGTGCCGGCGAGGATCGATGTCATGCATGGGCCGCCCTCAGGATGGAGAGCATGGTGCAACCACTTCATTGGGGCACGTAGGACGTGTGTCACATTGCACCGCGCGTGAGGACGTCCGTTTGTCGCGGCGGCGGATTATATTGTACATAATTGACAGCTTTCCTCGGTAAGACGGCGTGTTTGCTTGTGTTTGCTAGATTCTAGGGGCTTGTGATGCCCCGTGAGGCCTAACTCAAAGCAATTTTCGCAAACATGTCAGGACAGTGAACTTGATCAAACCTGCTTGGTCACCGATTGAATGATAACAACCATCCGGAGTTGTAACTGCTTGCACGGCATTCCAATTTGAAGTATGTCAGCCTGCAGAAAACACGTGGGACCTTTTGCAAGGCATGCGAACAGACGTCTGCCCCCGGCCCCCGTCCCCTCACCAGCACCCGCTCTGACTTGCATTAAAGTCGTCACATGGATGGCATGTCAATGTTTCCTGCACATGGCGCGTCTGACAGGAGATGGCCTTCCGTACTTTGGCTGCCACACGTGCAGCCCTCCAGAATGCACCAAAGGCGCCGCCCGTAGACAATCGTTGGCGGGTTGCAGCTGGGCCGTGTCACGAGCCGAGCCGGTGCGCCCGGCTGGTGATCGGTGACCGCCCCCAGCGACCACCGACCGGACTGAGTGCTACAGCGGCTGGGCGAGATGCGGGGATTCCCAGCGGGGTTTCACACTGTGACTTTCTTCCCTCCGTGACTGCGGCCTTGGCCCAGCCACACGTCTCCAGGCGACGTTCTCAAATGCTGAACTGGGCTCTGCTGGCCCCACCCGAGCCGAGCCGGTCCGTCGGCTTTCGGAACCTCGGCTGGGGAGAAGGCTGGCACGACTGGGCTATGTCCGGCGCTCTTTCCCGAGGTAACACGCCGGAAATATCTGCGGTGCGTGTTGGGACAGGCATGTCACGCGAACTAGCAACTTACCGCTGTTAAGTGGGCCCGCTACATGGAAGGGGCCCCGGCATATTTGTGCGGTAGCTTCGGGGTATATTTTTTGCAGTGGAGCATGGAGCAGTCGGTTGATAAGCCTCATCAAGCCACTATGGCCTCGTGGAAGCCCACAACACCGACATTAAAAGACCGACTCACGTCAGAGACGCCATTCGCTTCACAAAAATGACTTGATGTGTACGGAACGCTGATTGCCCAGACCGTGGCGCAATCGGATCAGTGCCGTAATGAGGCCGAGTCCACTGGGCATGTTCTGCTCCAAGCGATGCCATACACCCTCTTGGCGCCACGTCTGTGTACAACTTAGCGGACAGAGGCTCGTTAAAAGACGTGCCCGGCTACAGCCAGAGCGAGCACCAGACTCCAGTCCACGTCGCGGTCAATTGCAACTGATGCGGTATGCCCCTTGATCACGTGTCCTGGAAACAATCTGAGTTGACAGGCGGGCCACATTCGGTCTGAATCAGCCTGACACTGGCCATGCTCTACAGGATGCGATCGTCCCATACAGGCGTCCCATGTCTGACTGAGGGCGACATGCGCCAGCGTCCTTGGTCTGACAGGGTGACGCGCGCTAGCGTCCTTGGTCTGACTGAGGGCGGCGTGCACTAGCGTCCTTGGTCTGACTGAGGGTGACGTGCACTAGCGCCCTTGGTCTGACTGAGGGTGACGTGCACTAGCGTCCTTGGTCTGACTGAGGGCGGCGTGCACTAGCGTCCTTGGTCTGACTGAGGGCGGCGTGCACTAGCGCCCTTGGTCTGACTGGGGGTGACGTGCACTAGCGTCCTTGGTCTGACTGAGGGTGACGTGCACTAGCGTCCTTGGTCTGACTGAGGGTGACGTGCACTAGCGTCCTTGGTCTGACTGAGGGTGACGTGCACTAGGGTCCTTGGTCTGAGGGTGACGTGCACTAGCGTCCTTGGTCTGACTTAGGGT